ATACTGAATACACTCTCTCTCTACTTTTACTTACTTGCTCTGACTTCTCTCTAAGTTATTCCCCGTAATAACCCTTCGGATATATACCCCCGGGTAGACTATCCATCATCAACGTTCCATGGTTGTTGCAGCTTCGAGAATCCAATCATGCAGATCCTTGGGAAACCTTTATTGGGAAGACAATAACTATGATGTTCATAGCAGTGACACCACTGGTAAAATCAATGCCAAGATTTAGGTGCAATTCATGCTTTGTCTCACTTTCCTCATTAAAAATTTAAAGATAATTCAAACATTGGACTTCTGTACTAACAATTTTTTTACCTTCTTATCAAGAAATATACATTCAAATGATCAACTTTCTTACCTTCTCATCAAGAAATTTGCATTCAAATGATGTTAGTTATGGTACATATTAAAAGCTTGAAACTTTATTAGCAAATTTTATTAGAGCTAAAAATTCATAAGTATTGTGTGCAATATAGTGGCATTGTTGTTAGAAATTAAATTTGCCCAATACTTTGTTCTGACTTCTAACTTGATCTCCATAATTGATTTGACAATTCAAAAATTTTCTAATATCTCCCAAAATGTGCTAATATGATAATATCATTTGGATATTTGCTTTCATTCTAATTTACTACTTCCACAACCAAAGTCATCAAATGCATTTTAACATTTTGCGAGCTTGCTTTTATGTTAACTACTTTCCCTTCCAAGCTGATTGTATGAATGGTAATATTGGAGGTAAGAATTTTGACAAATTTCATGGAAATCTACTCACTTTCCTTGCAGGTTCTTTAATGTTTTTGAATATGCATGGTAATAATGTTCATGCGATAAGAGCATTTGATATGATACCATTAAAGATCCTCTAAAGTTCTATTACTCCACAAAAAAGTGGCAGGATGTGTTTTTGAACCAAGGGTGAAAACACTATGGGTAGCCATATTTTTATTAGTCTTATCTACATGAGGCCTTTCCAATCCCATATTCTAAGAAACTTTAATCCAAATTATTCACATAAATGAATGATTTTTCAAATAAACATCTATCAAATAATGTTTTCATTTCTCTAAGCTATCAAAGACATCACTGGCCCGAAGTTATTTTTGAAATATAAGCCTTACACCCCAAAGAAGATGAATTTAAACAACAAGTATTGTGTGTTATAGTAAGTTTTATATTCTATGATTCTTATCTTCTTTGGGAATTTTTGCTTATCTGGTATTTATATAATCAATTCGACTAACTTGTAATAGGGTGACCTTAACAAATACTCACAATATATTTGCTTCTTTTTGGACTTGTCTTTGGTTCTTTAGTAGGTGGTCAAGCTTTAGATTTATGAAGTGTTGTTCCAGTTATTCCCAGAAATGATTGGAATGCTGCCTATTGGGTAAAGTCTACCTCATTTTTACTTTTAACAACTTCAACTCATGAAATCAATCAAGATATCAACCTGAGGCCTTTCTAACCCAATTTTATTGAAAAGTTTCTTTCATATTTTACTCATAAATCCTCTAATTTTTCAAATAAACATCCATCAAATAATTTTTTCCTTTCACTACGTTATCAAAGACCTAATTCCCACTAAATTGTTTTTAAAACTTAAGCCTTGCAGCAAAGTTTTAAGTTCAAATGGATGAAGATGATCTTACTTTAACGGAGTTCAAATAGATGAAGATGATCTTACATTAAGGTTTCATGTGATTTGTTACTTAAGTTGGGTTGAACTCTGTTTTGAACTTCTCATCTAAACCCATCCTATTTTGAAATATAGTTTTTGAAAAGTTGTGAATTGCCTTGAAATGTTTTACCTCCAATGATCCATCTAAACATGTCACCAAATTCCTTCTCAGTGCTAAACAAAGCTCTCCATCGGTTAACTTTACTGTTCTTAAAAATGAAAGATATGGTTAATTGTTATAAATAATTAAGTATACAATACTCAAAAAATTAAACAACATTTACCCCAGACTAGATCCAAAAACACAACTTTTCTTAATCCAAATCCTTGTAGATTTAGTAAGCTTAAGCATAATTTACTAATTTAGTATTGAATCGGTAATAGCGTTTCATTATTATCTTGAAGTAGCTACAATTCAATTGTGAGATACGTAGTATAACATAATATTGTTCAATAAGTATTGCAAATAATTTAACTAATGCATTTGTCTAATTTAACCAATGCATCCATTTATAAAAGTTACCATCTCATAGTACAAAAGATGTCCAGAATGTTATCAATATTCATTTCTTTATCATTATACTTGAACATGTATACTCTATTTTAAACAACAATTTTGATTGGCATGGTAAATGTGATGCTTACAGACTGCATTGCATATATAAATGGTTTGAGCAAGTCATTTTAACAATTAGTGTGTTATTATCTTTCTATTTCATGAAAGATAATAATTGGTGTGTAAGTGTGCCATTTGGGCAATACTTTGTTGACACCGGATGAGTATCCCGGGCAACTCATTGGGCAACTCAAATGAAGAGATATGATGTATCATGGCTTTCATTGAGCCACTAACAAAATTCCTTCATTGAATTGGTACATATATAAATGAGTTTAGGATTGAACCTTTCTCCTTAGGTTGCATGAGCTACAAATATTGATTAAGGTTCAACGGTTGAGAGGTCCATAGTTGTGTAGATGCTTGCTTCTTTGTAAACAGGTGTCAAGAAACTTAAGAAAGTCCAGGCTTTTTCTTCTTTTCCTTAAACATTTAAAGTTGTATTCCCATATGCTTTTATCTTTTCTGCAATTTAAATTACTATACTATGCATTTCTCATCAACAAAAGAACATCTGTGGAATACAGATAGGGATTATAATCTTTGCTTATTGCATTCTCAAAGCTAAAGAGGAGGATGTAGAAGAATTGAAGGGTGTCCATGTGAAATGAGGTTGCTCGTACTCCCTATTTATATCAAAAAATGAATGATCCTACCTAAAGAAGTTTCACATGTCCCAAGGACATGTTAAATGGAGTTGATGGGCATATTTTTTCTTATTTATTTTATTTATTCCAATGCCTTAAATGGAGAACTATTTATAAAAAATATGTGTTGTGAACACATCCCCCAAGACACAGGCTTGCACGCTTAGAGTACTCATGTACATAAAGTTGCCTAAAGTGTAATGCCATTTATTGTTCTCATTACTGTTGATAGCGACTACACAACTTTCTACTGTACAACTTCTTTTTCACATTCTATTAATGTCTCATTTCGAATGCCTTATAGTGCTTTTAAATCTATGTATTAATAGATTTTGGAACATTACATTTTTATATTATATTCTATATCAGTGCACTGTTATAGCCGTCAAAATGGATTTCCTAATGTATCATGCACTGCATAAGGCTCTTCTTTATGAGTTTCTTTACATGGAGCATTAATTGGAGTCTTCTTACAATGTTCATATGTGCACCATATCATCATGAGGATCATTTTTCTTTGTTAGCTTGCACTATTTGTTGATGTCAACAATTCCAAGCGGGAATACTGTTGAAAAAACAGTGCCAAAAACCTTTTGTTTTTATATAATGTTAGATTGTTGACTAATTCCTCTCAGGGTATGTTTGAGAGTTGGGTTTTGGAGGGAAGGAAAAGGTTGACAATGGTTTATGGTCATCCCCTTCATGTTGGGAGTTTAAAAATATGGAGAGAGTGGTTTTGGAGGGCTTTTGCCATCCTCGAAAACCCTTCAAATGCACAATTCTCAAGTTCTCTCAAATTAATGACAACTTTAGCTTAATTTTAAATAAATATAAATTTAATTATTTGAATTCATCATATATGTAAAGTGATTGTAATTATAACGCATCCATAACATCTATCTTTTCAAATTTGTTACTCCAAACAAGAAGAAGAGTTTCATCTTCTTTCCCTCGCCTTCCATTCCAATGACTAACCTTCAACATCTTCTCCTCCACTTCCCTTGAAACTCTCAAACATACAATAAAAGATTTCCTCACATTCCCCTCCATTTTCCCTCCAATAACATATCTTCAACAAAATATTGCTAGATAAACATTAGTCCAATAGAAAACTTGCGAACAAAATTGATAAACATTAGTAAGAGCTCGTATAATACTTTTGTTTTTCGGCTTATCAGTCAACATTTTCATCAAACACGTTTCAAACGCCGAGTTGTATAATAATTAAAATAAGTAAGATCTAGGTAATAGTCTACATTAATTAGGAATATTTGTATTTTGGCAACTGCTATTTTATTATAAATATACTTGCCAGAGCTCCTATTGGAGTATGTCTTTTCCATTATTCTCACATGATATCAAGAGCCCAAACCTAATTTTTTTCCCTGTCTACTCCTACGCATAATTGCCGCCGCCTAATGAATTCCTCTCATGCAAATTCATCCCAGGCCATGAGCACAGCCGCTGCAGCCATCTCTTCCATGGCGCCGGCATCCAGTTCTTCTCTCATTCACAGTACAACGGAGCTACCCAGCGCAACCGGTTCGCCGGCCTTGCAGCAGCCTACATCCATGCTTTTTGCGAATTTTCCTCCGTCACCAATCTTCTCTACAGCCGAGCAGTATCCCTCCTTACCGGCTTTACCGCAGCGATTTCCATGGCAGACACCTCCGGTCCAGCCTCAGGCGAATTCCTCCCATCCGCAACCGCATGCTTCTCCGTTCTTCGGCTCCATCTTTTCTGGCTCCCCTGATGTGGTACGCCCGCCTGATCAGCTAGGTTGCTCTTGTGGCTGCTATTTTATTATAAATATATGTGTCAGGGCTCCTATTGGATTACAGCTTTTCCATTATTCTCACACTTGGTTGCTCTTGTGGCTGAATTGACTGAAGTTACTATAGAAGATCATTTTAGGTATTTTTCATATATTTTTTTATTTATTTTGTCAATATATATTTTAAACATAATTTATTCATAATTCAACATTATTAATCAATTTAACTACTTTGGCCAAAATTTCATAAATTTCGCGAGAATCGATCTCAATTTTGAGTATTATCATAAATAAATAAAATGAGAAAAGGGTCAATTGAGTACGTCATTACTCATTTTGTATGAAATGGAGTAAAGAGTACACTATGTTGTATTTGGCATTCATAAGTACATAAACTCAGTTTTTTAGTGTTAATTAAGTACATTCATTGGATTAATACGTTAATACGACTGATTTGGCTAATGGAATGCTGAGTAACAAGGGGTAATTGGCCACGCTGATGGCGTCGACCATCACGAAGGGCGTCGATCAAGGGGAAGTCGACCTGCGGGGGCTGACATCAACCAAGTGAAAGTCGACCAAGGGATCGAGGAATGACGTGGACTTTCAGGAAGTCAACCTATTACTTTTTTGTTTGTCAACTCAGACGTATTAACGTGTTAATCTACTGTGTGTACTCAATTAACGCACAAAAACCGAGTTTGAGTACTTAAAACCTCAGATGTAATATGATGTACTTTTTACTCCACCTTATACAAGTTGATATACTCAATCCACTTTTCTTAAAAAAATTGGCATTAAAGTTACTAAACAGGGCCATCCTTGATTATGGAGACATGGAGTCATCTCAAAACTTCAAAAGAAGATGGAGATAGGATCAGTGGACCACCGTCTTCGACCTCGGGTCCTTCCATGGGCTGGGACTAGACACAGAAGCTGTTGGCATTCCGGGAGGGACACTCACTCATAAATCATCCATTCATTCATACCTTCCCACTGCTCTATACCCCACCACCCACCCCACACGCCCCTGTCTCGCTGCACTCCAAAGTCTATCCTGTTTGACGCCACTGCTCCACACAGTCCAACATTCAACAACACATAAAAGAAAAAGTTGCTCAAACCCCGGAATTTAATACTATTATTCTGTCTTTCTTTTCTCTTCTCTGTGTAATAGATTCAATGAATCATTGAATATGCACGCATCCTGTGACACAGAACTTTGAACTTCTCTTCTCCGATCTCTCCCCACCCTTCTTTCTCCATAATCCTTTTTTCCCTGAGCCTTCTTTCTTCCTAGCTGGCTGTTGTGAAATTCGGGAATGATTGATTGTTCCAAGCCTACAACAGAGAGTATTGCAGTTCGTTTCTTTATTTAAGGTAAAATTTGTGTTTCTTGAAATTTCCATTTTTGCCTGGTTTCAATTATTGGGTTCTTTTTCACTGGCTCGTTTTCTATGGAAATCATTGAGCTTTAAGGTTTTTGATGCTCATTTATTTCTTTTGGATTTGATTTGATGGATCTCGTCTCCCTATCTCTTGTTTCGATCTTATGATTTGGTGATTTGATAGCTCGAAATTTTACTGTCTTCTTTTTTCTCTCTACTTTCATCTTCGTGGTAGATTGTCTTAGCTGTTTTTTAATATTCTTCTTTTTTGTTTATTAAATTGCAGCGCGAGATACTATTCTCTACCTTTTTACACTCGACCCAGAACTTGTGCCCTTGACAAAGAACTACCACCATCTTTCTGGCCAACATGTGATCAGACACCTTTTCATTGAAATCATAATATTATTACATTTCATCATGAAGTACAGTTGAGGATAGTCTAGCACTGCAACTGAAGTAGAGAGGCTGCTCCGTGATATTCATCATACTCTAGGTAATGAGTAGTAGTGAACAATATGTGATCTTTTATTTTTAATTCAAAAGAATATATAAAGACCAACTTTTTTGTGGTTCGTTGGTAGTTGGATGTATTGGGGGTAAATAATTAAAGGGAGTTTAAGATGGCATACACTTCATTTACTAAATTATAAAACTGAGTGTAATGATTATTTCTAGTCCCAGTTTGATTAAATGGATCTGATTCTCTCTTTTTTTGGCATAGCAGGAGCATTTGTATCTGATTCTCTAATTGAAAAATATACCACAATAAAAAGGAAAAAGTTCAAGTCGTAGGTCTTATGATGGCACATATTGCAGCAAATCATTTTAATGGAGGGGCTCATCAAGGTTGGTTTAGCTTTCTTCACTGAATCTTCACACATGCTGATTGGTGCTTGATTATGAAATTGGTGGTTGCTTTCCCTTTGGGTTTTGTGTCTGATCATGTTCATTTGGTGTATTTTCATCACTCGTCACTGAAGGTTTTTTTCCCCTGTTTAATGTTTAATAACCCATCATATGAATGTTGTTAACATGGATTTCGTCCATTGATGTTCTTGAAGCCTATTTTGCTGCACTTCCCTTTCTCCCCATCAAGTAATACTAAATGAGTTTCTGTTACAGGGTCTTCAAGTGATGCATTGTACAAGGAGCTATGGCATGCCTGTGCAGGACCACTTGTGACAGTTCCTCGTGAAGGGGAAAGAGTATATTATTTTCCACAAGGTCATATGGAACAGGTCACCCCTCTTGGTTACACTGTCACATAATGTTCTTTACTCTGCTACTTGTTTTTTATGTAGAAGGAAAGTTTTTCTGATTAATTACAATTTTAGCAGTTTTTGGAAATTTCAACTGTTTTTGAAAATGTAACCATTTTTGGAAGATCAGACTATTTTCATAAGTTTTCAACTGTTTGGATAAGATGCAACTTTGTAAATTATGATTATTTTTTGAACATCTTAATTTCTTTCAGCTTAACACCTTAATCTCTTTCAGCTGTTTTCATATGGTTTTACATTTTAAAAAGCTGATATTTTCTGTTAAAAAAACTGATATTTTGTTGCATCCAAGCGAAATTAATCATTTTTGGATCACTTCCAAATAAACCTATCCCAAATAAAAAACTAATATAATTGATTATTGAAACAATCTGACTTTTCAGCTGCCCCAAGCACACTTGGTGACTGCTGAGTTAATTTTCTCTCTCTTTTATTTCACTCTTACAGCTCGAAGCATCTACCCACCAGGGAATAGACCAGCAACTTCCTTCATTCAATTTACCGGATAAAATTCTGTGCAGAGTGATGAATGTTGTTCTTCAGGTAGGTTTACTTCATTTCGTTTGGTGGTATATAGACTAGTCTATTTTAAATTAAATTCAGCACATCTTTGCTTGTGTTGTAGGCTGAACCTGATACGGATGAGGTGTATGCTCAAATAACCCTGCTTCCTGAAACAGATGTGAGTTTTAATTCCCCTTAATTTTTTTCTTAATATATTATTTAGATAAAAAGTGTCTGAATATTATGTTGCCTATTATTCTTCTATGTGGGGTAACAGCAAAGTGAGGTCACAAGTCCCGACCCTCCTCTCCCTGAAAGTCAGCGATGTGAAATCCATTCATTTTGCAAAACACTCACCGCTTCTGACACAAGCACCCATGGAGGATTCTCTGTTCTTAGGCGACATGCGGATGAATGTCTGCCCCCATTGGTATTTATTATTATTATTATTATTTTTGTTGTTGTTGTTGTTGTTATTACTATTATTATTATATTTGCATTTCCATTAAGCGCTCACTCAAGCCTTCGTCTCCTAGTTATTTTTTTCATATTTTATGGATTGCAGGACATGTCTCAACAGCCGCCGTGGCAGGAACTTGTTTCTACTGATCTGCATGGCAATCAGTGGCATTTTCGTCACATCTTTCGCGGTAACTTTGCTTTCAAATGATATCTTTACTGTCCAATGAGGGAAGTAGGCGTAATAGTCCATAAGTTGTTCTGAAAGGCATCCCCTATTATCAGGTCAACCTAGGCGTCACTTACTCACAACTGGGTGGAGTGTTTTCGTTAGTGCGAAGAAATTAGTAGCTGGAGATGCCTTCATATTCCTCAGGCAAGTTCAATGATATCTTCTATTATGAATTACCGAAAATTAGGAAAAAGGGTCATATAAGCCCATCTACTATCGTGAAAAATTGTCCAAGCCCCTGTACTAAAAAAAACATCACAGCGGTGCTTTTACTAGTGAAAAACAATCAAATAAACCAAAGTGACCGTAAATCAACCTCTTCCAGCCTTGGTGACTATTCTCTTAAAATCCACAGGATTTTTTTTTCTAATGCAGGGGTGAAAATGGGGAACTTAGAGTTGGGGTACGGAGGCTAATGAGGCAACTAAACAATGCGCCATCTTCTGTCATATCAAGTCACAGCATGCATCTGGGAGTTCTTGCTACTGCTTCACATGCCATCTCAACAGGGACTTTTTTCTCTGTTTTTTACAAGCCAAGGTTGTGCTAAATCCTGTGTGTACATTTTGCTATTTCCGTACAGTTAGAAGCAATTCCCTCTATTTTTTATTTGGCATTAACAATTGAATGTGTGATGCATCCCAGGACAAGTCCGTCTGAGTTTATTGTGAGTGTGAACAAATATCTTGAAGCGAAAAATCACAAGTTTTCTGTTGGAATGAGGTTTAAGATGGTGTTCGAGGGTGAGGAAGTTCTGGAAAGAAGGTAATTTCAGAACACAATTGTTTTAGGTTTATGAGGATTTGACTTTACTGAAGTTATGCCTAGATTAGCTCAAATAAATGTACCGGGTTTATGACATTCTTATACAGGTTCAGTGGGACCATAATTGGCGTCGGAGATGATACATCATGTAGATGGGCTAATTCGAAATGGAGAGCTTTGAAGGTGACTATATCTTCCCTAATGTTTCTTTCTTCAGTTATCTCATATTTTAGTCTTTATTTTTTCTGTTTCATGTGAAGCTGAATTTATGAATGGATCCGATTCAAGTTTTATTTTTTTCATCTGCAACTCTTACCATCTCTGTGTTCTCTGTTTTCTTTCGAGGGTGTATTATGATGAGTAAATAATCTGGATTTTTGTACTATTTGTATTGGTGGAAAGCATTCCATAAATTGTCATTTTTATGAGTATGCCCTTTTGACTTTCCTCTTAAAGGCACATTTCAATCGGTCTACTAGGTGCTGTTTAGGATATCAAATTACTTTCATTTTTTTTAGTAAAATTGGATATCCATTTAAACCTTTATCCGTTTCAGGTTCAATGGGATGAGCCATCATCAATTTTTCGTCCTGAAAGGATATCTCCGTGGGAGATTGAACCGCTTGTTGCAACATTACCACCACACAATCCCCAACCTCCTCCAAGGAACAAACGGTCACGCCTAGCAATTTCAGCTTCACCCACACAGGAATTTCCTGCGCAAGTCTCTGACAATCTATTCCCAAGTACCTTTTCTTTATCTCTCTCTTAGTGCCTGTTTGGATGAAGGGGAGGTTTTGGAGGGAGTACTCTATATCCTAGTATATACCTGATATTTTATGAAATCGAAATTAACATAATACACGATTGTATACAATTTAAATAACCTTTTGTTCGTTTTAGGAAGCACTGACTAAGGCCTTCCTGCAAACCCCTACAAAACCCTCCATCCGCAGAGACCGTCTGTAGTTTGTTTATAAATATTTGTGATAACCCCAAACCCAATTCCTGCCAATGAATAGGTACATGGAACACAATTGCTGATTCTCCTTTGCCATTCTCACGCTGTGATCCATCATCCAATGTGATGGATATTTATCCATCAGTCAAACTCTCTCTTGATTCAAATGCTAACAATCCAGCAGGTTACAACAAGAATTGGTATTTTTGCTTATGTTTATCTCTCAAGTCCTTGTGCCGGTCTAACTAGAACTAAAACAGACTCAACTGCACCAGCTACTGAAAAGAGACGGAGTGGCTGCAAATTGTTTGGATTTGAGTTGCTGGACCACTCAACCGTTGAAGACACATCACCTGTGGCTGCACCACCTCAAGCTATGGTGGAGACTCATCCAAATCCACCTTTTGATACTGAATCTGACCAGAACTCTGAACATGAGAGATCATCGCTGAGATCAACCTATGAATCCCAGACCAAGCAAATTAGGAGCTGCACTAAGGTACCCATATCCATGATCATGTATAAGCCAACAATGTTCTTACTTTTTATTTATATCATTATTACTTAACATAAATTTATCTACAATCCAATCCACTCATGCATGTAATATAAATAAGAAATCATAGTTAATATGAGTAAAACATGGGTCATTTGCACAAACAAGAGTATCATTACTTTGTGCCAAATCCAGGACTCATTCTGTCCTCAAAAGGGAATAAAAGTAGTTAACAATTTTTCTTCTTGGAGTGGGTGAGTCTTATTTTTAGGAAAAAACGTTGGTGGCTTTATTTCAAGAATGTAGTCCTGGTTACCCTGATTCTGTTCGGTTGCTCTAAAATACCCATGAGGTAACCGATTCATATTAATTGATGAAAAGTTACTTATATTTATGTGGGTGGATGTAGGTTCACATGCAAGGGAAAGCTGTTGGGAGAGCAGTAGATATGGCGGGATTCGATGGGTATGAAGATTTGCTGAAGAAATTGGAAGAGATGTTTGAGATTAAAGGTGAACTGTGTGGATTAGTAAAGAAATGGCAGGTTGTGTACACAGACGATGAAGATGACATGATGATGGTGGGAGATGATCCATGGCAGTTGAGTCCTCTCTCACTCTCTCGCGCTTGCTCTCTCCTTTTTATTGTTGTTAGGCGAGTATATTTTTTACGCATTTACTAAGTTTTGGTTTGTTCTTGAAATGTGTACACAGTGAGTTCTGTTGCATGGTCAGAAAAATCTTCATCTACACAACTGAAGAAGCCAAGATGCTTTCACCAAAGATAAAGCTTCCCCATGCTAAGGAAGTTAAATTAGAAAATGCAGTTTCAGACCCTCCGAGTTGCACCGAGGAAGAACATGAGATGGTCAACCCTTAATGTGAGTGCTTATATCAAGCGGAGGGATGTAATTCACTCAAAGAAACAGTTGAGAGGACAATGTAAGATAAAGACTCCAACACTGGTAGTAGTAGTTTTAGCAGTGGTAGTGTCTTTGTTTTTATATAGTTTTGCATGTCTGCCTTCACCTCTATTGTGTAGAGCTGGATAGGTGGGTAGTTCTTATCTTTATTTATTTTTTCAAATTTGGAGGTGGTGGGGGTGGGGGTGGGGGGTAAGTTTTTTCTGCATATTTCCAGTGTAATAAGGCTTTTACTCAGGATCACTGTGTATGTAAGTATGATCTTGAAAACAAACTGTCTGTCTAGCCTCTTAATATAAAGGAACTTTTCTGCTTTTCTTTTGACTTATCATTTATGTGCTGTCTTTTTGTGGACACTTGCTTGTGCGTTGCCATCTTTTCCCATCATTTTACGGATCTGTTTGGCGTCACATTCAGATGCACTTGTTCAGTTTTTCTTCTGCAATAGCCTTTTTGCATGTGCTCTTTCATGTTCACACTGCCCACTATGATTTCTAACATAAAAAAAGTGAAAGATGGTGGGAGAAATAATAGTAAAAGGTGGTTTGCTTGGGTTGTCCTACATCAGTCAACAAAGATGCACTCATTTTTTAGTTAGATTAATCGACTTTATGTACAGTCTTCATTTTTGCCTTGTTTAAAGTTAATGACTTTTATGTATGAGGACTGAGGAGCATTAAATTTTGACGCTATTTATTATCAAGGGCCTGTTTCCTAACATTTTTTTGGAAAATTTACTTATAGAGGGAAGGGTTGGGTGAGTACCGTCAACTTGTATGAGGTGAAGTAAAGAGTACACTATGTTGCATTAAATTTGACATTAATAAGGACATAAATTTGTTTTTAGTGTTAATTGAGTACACTAGTTAGATTAACACGTTAATATGACTGAGTTGACTAACAAAATGCCGAGTAAGAAGAGGTAATCGGCGTCGACCATCAGGAAGTCGATCAAAATGGAAAGTTGACCTTCGGAGGTGGACCTGCAACCTGTAGGAGTGCATCGATCAAGGGAAAATCGACATGCGGGGGCTGGCGTCGACCAAGTAGGGATGGACCTGGGCCGGTCCGGTTCCGGTTCCGGGCCGGTCCGGTTCCGGTTCTGGGCCGGGCCCGGGTGGGCTTTTTTTGCAAATACTTGGGCCCGGAACCGGCCCGGGTTGATACCGGGTCCAGGCCTAACCGGGTCCGGGCCTAACTGGGTCCGGGCCTAACCGGGCCGGTTCGGGCCCGGTTCAATGTCTACCTTTTTTTTTTGCTTTCTTGTTATCCCCCGACCCCCCCCCCCCACCCCACCCCCAAACCTCCCTAAAACACCCAGCCCTACCCTAGGAAAAGAAAAAAAATTGAAAAAACAAAAAAAAACTATGGCCCGGGCCGGTTCGCCCAAAATTGGGCCCGAGCTCGGCCCGCCCGACCCGCTCAAACGAGCTAAAAGCTCGGAACCGGCCAACCGGTCCTGGTCCGGTCCGGGCCCGCACAGTAGCGGTTCCGGTCCGGTTCCGGGCCGGGTTAGTCCATCCCTACGACCAAGGGAAAGTCGACCAAGGGGTCAAGGGCTGGTGTTGAGTTTCTCGAAGTCAACCTATTAGCATTATGTTAGTTAACTCAGACGTATTAACGTGTTAATATACAGGGTGTACTAAATTAACACTACAAACCCAACATTGTGTACTTAGAAATATCATACGAGTATGCAATATAGTGTACTCTTTACTTCACCTCATATAAGTTGAGGTAATCAATTGACCATTTCCTCTTTACTTATACTTCCTACGATTCTTATTTAAGTGTACACTTTCCTTTTTTGGATGTCTCAATCAAGTTTACACTTCCTTATTTGGCAAACAAATCTACACCAAAACAGTGTCAAAACAGTGCCAAACAATGTCAAACAGTGTCACAACAGTGTACTCTATAGTAAAATTTCTTAATATGTGTTAAGTCAAAGTGTCAAGTTAATTAAGAATCGGAGGGAGTATATGATTAGAATTTAAAACATAATTCCTGATATATGACTAACAAATTTAAGTATGTTTTTGTATGATAAGAGCATCTCCAATGCTACCGTGTGCACGGTGCACATGTGGCATGAAAAATAACCACATAAATATTAACAAATAAATTATATATATCTCACCTTATTTGAATGATTTTATACAATTTTGGTAAGTTTTCCCCTGCAATGTAAACTGTAATGTCAACATCTAGACGATTTCCTTGACATTGTGGAGAAAAACTTACCAAAGCTGCATAAAATCATTCAAATAAGGAGATAAAAAATTTATTTAATAATATTTATGCGGCTATCTCTCATGCCACATGTGCACCGTGCACATTGTATGATACGAGACATCATTAATTCGCGAAGAAAAACTAGTTAGTCATATTTAAGAAATCACCACCTCTTTTAGTCATATGGCTAGCATTGTTCTCTTTTAGCCATTCTTTTTAGTCAAATATTAAATTTTTGATTTTGTGTGTTCAGTTATGTAATAATCGAAATAAGTAAGATTGTGTTTAGTGAAGATGATTATTTTAGCATTTTTTGTATAATGTTTTGTATCACTTAATTATTTGATGAAATGTATTTTAAATACTCCGTCTAATTTTTTAATGATTTAGTGGGTTCAGCTGTATTAACCTTTAATTTCAGTCATCCAAGCATTCCAACCCAGCTGGTATTGAGGTTACCGTGCCTAGTGAGAGGTTTTGAGTTTGAAACCTGCTAGGCACCTAAGGGTTTGAAACTCAATGGAGTGAGTTTCAACCCTGATTACTCTCCTCCCCCCCCCCCCCCCCCCAGGCCCCCTCTCCTAGACCCTCTGGAGTAAAAAAAATCCTTTAATTTCAGTCAATTTCAAATTTACCAAACGAGTTCTAAAAGTAACTCTGAAATGAAGCTAAAAATTGTAAGCAAGTAAAAAATAAACTAAAGAATAAATTCTAGTTTTGATCTTGGAGTATCACACTAAATCCATAGTTAGTTCAAGTTTTTTATTTTGACCACTTTTGTATATTATTATTATTCCATGTGTCAATATTTCTGATGGTTAAAATCGCTTGAGAAGTTTTGAGAAATTGAATGTTTGGACAATTAATGATCAAGAAACATTATTAAGTAGGTAAAGTGAACAAAATGAAAGACAAAAATCAAAGGATATAAAACTCATAAGATTAAAAGCATGTGTGATGTGAACAACTACAACTGTGAGACTGTAGTGTAATTCTTTTGGAAATATGATTCATTAATTCATAAAAATAACTCACCCGCTGATATGGCCAATTTCTAGTTGGATTGGCACAAAAAAAAAATATGTTTGGATTCTATGCAAATGGAAGTTAGAGAACTACATTTGCTTTTTACCAAAATATGAATTGTCTAGTGCCATTAAAAGAATAAAACAATAAAAACTTTTCCATAGAAAAGTGAATGCTTTAAAAGTATTCAGTGGATTTTCTCTAATTAAAATAAACACATTAAGAACTGGTGTAGTTCTATTAAACTACTGGCAGGTTTATACATAGGGTAAGATATTGAAAGTCAGAAAATTTATAAGAAGATAGTAAACGATAATTTATTTTGGGAGTGGCAGTATGACACATACCTTCAAGGCTTCAACTAGCTAGATCAAGGCCATGCTTATATGTCTTTTGGTTGATAATTTTATATTTGTTCAACGTGAGGTATTGAACACTTACAAATTGAAACACAACCTTCAAATAAATTATGTAACCTTTTCATCTATCTTTTTGGACGTCCTAATTACAAGTTTTCATGTCTATAGTAAAAAATAACTAACATTCTTAGCTTTAACTTTTTCATCTGTCGTTTTGGACGCTCTAACTAAAGATGCTCATTTCTAATTAAAAAATAATTAACATTCTTAAAAGATAGCGTAATCGTCAAATATCAGAACTAATACACCGATAGCATTAGAGTTGTCATCAATGGTCTCATTGTATCATATATTCATCAAACTACTTTAAAATTACTCGAATAACCTTATTTAGTTATTATCTAAATCACAATATAATGTGATTTTTCATAGAGAAATTTAAGACGAGACGACACGTGGCTATTATTTTTAATATGTTCTCGCTAATTTATTTTAAACTTTCAAAAATCATAGGAGTCAACCTTATTCATTGTCTCATTTTAAATGTCCCCTTGAGTATTAATAATCAAGCAAATTATGAGATATGTCCCCATTCTATTTTACTTCCAAATCGCCAAATGTTTTCAAATGCCTTTTACACTTGGTCATTTACTAATTACATAATGCTCATTCATTAGTTTTCATTTTAATATAAAAGATACCAAGTACTTAATTTTTATTAGAGATGCATTTCATCATTAAAACGACTATGCACATAGAATATCGAATTTATAAACAATTAAACATATAGGGTCCGTAGTGAAATAATCCATCATGCATGTGGTTATTGACTTCTTTGTAACCCTATCAATGATCAAGTCAAATACTTGAACTACACCTAATCAAACCTGCGATGAGAAGTCATTATGTATAATAATGCATAGGACTTCCGTAAAAACCTAAGTAAGTGCTCCACTCATTGTCTATTTGTTTGCGATTAAAGTCTATTCACATCCTCCTAATTAACTGTCGGGCCGGTGCCGGGAGGGTCTCAGAGATGAGTGTCATCCATTTTTTTGTAACCCCGTCAATATGTCAGGTTGTTTCTAAATTGATAAATTTAAATTTGTACAATTTTACCCTCAGTCCGCATAATAATTAATCACAAAAATAGATTCTATCCAAAGTAGAGTTGTACATGTGCCAAAAGTAGCCCAAATCCACAAAATCCGGATGACCCAACTTTGTGCGGACATTTTTAATTTGGTCGGTAAAGACGTGCTAAATTTCTATAAACTCGCACATAATGGATAAACTTGGAAAAGTCAGAGCATCAAAACTAATGTTACCCTACACGGCTGAAATGAAAGTTTACCTTTCATCGAAGGCATTCAATTTAATGTCTACCTTTGGAAGTTGGATATATTCTCTACTTCAAAGATTAGTTACAAAAAATGGTCATATTATTCCGAAAAAGAAGATGGTCATATTGACTAGGTGATTTATTACATTTGCTTATAGATAAACTTTCTTCACAAGTTTGGTTTGATAGAGTCACAAAGTTTAGGCTTACTAAAAGTTTACATACATTTTTTGTGTATTTGTTACGCAATCATGGATTTGAGCAATATGCTGATCAATCCTAAAAATGGCTACATTAGTGGCCCATACTAAATACTCAATCCAAAGTCATTTTTATCCATTCATAACTCATTGGAAAAAGCTATCTCTACACTAAATTTATACACGTTTTATGTAGGGATGGACTCGGGTCCGGGCCGGGCCTAGGCCCGGGCGGGCCGGCGGGTCAGAAATGGTGGACCCGGGACCGGCCCGGGTAACCACCGGGTCCGGTCCGGTCCGGGTCCGGGCCGGGCCGGGCCCGTTATATTTTTTTTTTGTTTTCCTCTTCCTAATTAACCCCCTCCCACCCCCAACCCCCCAAACCACCCCAAATGGCCCAAAATACCCAGCCCAACCCGAAAATTTAAAAAAATTGAAAAAAAAAGAAAAAAAAATAGTTTTTGGCCCGAACCGGGCCCGGGCCCAGCCTGGTCGGGCCTTGTTTTGGGTGACCCGAGCCCGGACCGGAAAACCCACGGGCCGGGCCTACCCGGACCGGTCACTGACCGGGCCACCGGGTCGGGCCGGGCCGGAACAGTACCGGTCCCGGGCCGGTTCCGGGTCGGGCCACCCGGCCCGAGTCCATCCCTAGTTTTATGTACACCCCCTAGTTGCCGCCGTACCCACACAACTCGTTAGAAAGCTGCATGTGTACACAAACAATTAGGAGTGTAATACAAAATGTGTACAAACGTCGTGGGCATGTAGCACTGCTATAAATGATAAGTCTACTTCAATATATTCATGGGCGGATCTATGTAGGGCCTAGGGTGGGCTCTAGCCCATCCCAGCCCAATTTTTTTTGTTAGTATAGAAAGAGATTTAATCTTCAGCCCACCCAAAAATTAAAACTCAGCCCACCCCAAGTTTACAAGGAAGTGTTCTAAGAAGCTCTAAAAGCAAAAGGTTGTCCAAACTTTGTTTAAAGCCCATAGTCATGGGAACAAATGATCCCGAGAACAAATGATCCCGATGCGTAATAATAGAGCTTGGTGTGATTGCACCAAGAAGTGATTTATATATAGGACACTCAGGAGGGTGAACCATCACTGGTGCAAAATTACCTTTTTGCGGCGCTTAAATCAACCAACGTGCGGTGTTTTCAGGCGCCGCACATCTCGGTGCCGCAATTGAACGCGTGCGGCGCTTATTTTAAAAAAGCGCCGCAAAATATTTTTTAAATTAATAATTTAATGCGTAACCGTGCGGCGCTTTTCTGTAAATAAGCGCCGCAAATATTTTTTAAATTAATAATTAAATACGTAACCGTGCGGCGCTTTTCTGTAAATAAGCGCCGCAAATATTTTTTAAATTAATAATTAAATACGTAACCGTGCGGCGCTTTTCTATAAATAAGCGCCGCAAATTTTCAACATTTTTTTAAAATATTAATTATATTTAGGATCTTTCAAAAACGTCCTGTAACAGAATTAACAAAATTCAAAAAGTGTAAACTGTTTAAAGTCATCACAATATCAACAACATGAACTTCACAAATTACAAAATCAGCAAAGTGTAAGCAATTCAAGTAACCAACAGATTACAAAAATCTTCATAAAAATGATTTCAAAAAACACTTAACACAATACATAACCAATGTAATCAACTTTTACATATTTAAGAGTACATCCAAGAAAAATCGTGCCCATATATTGCGAATGTTATTAAACTCATCTTCAGAATATGCCTCAGTTCTTGAATACCAATCCTACAAATATTTAGATAAAATAAAACATAAATAAAAAATATTACAACTTTTAAATTAGAAAAAAATAAACGAAGTTAAAAAATAAGAATAAATAATGATATACCTTTCCAATATCAAAGCTATCAACATACGAAATCACTTCCCATATGTATCGCATGGTATAATATCCGCATTCTGTGTTTCCGTTTTGTCTGGCACACTTTTTTGAAATACAAATTTACAAAATATATGTATCAAAGTTAATGGTGATTGAAATAAGTTATTGATGAATTTACCTTAACATTATGCCATGTGATTGGCTTTCCATCACCATTTCTTGCGGAAGCAACTCTGTATGCTCTACATTAAAAAATTTATGTTAAATGATATAAATAATAATAATAATAATAATCTATAGCAATTATTATAAATAAAAAATATTAAACGAATACTTACAATGCTAGATCTTTCTGAATGCTGATATTAGAAAAGCTTGGGATTGAATTGAAGATATAGCCTTTATTAACCGAGGGGCAAATGACTATCAAAATCCAATGAAATCTAAATATCAAAAAAATTACAATTAATTAAAAAATTAAATTTACATAAGCAGATACATTATATAAAATAAAACTATTTACCCTTCATTATATGGAAGCAAGATCATTCTTTTTCCAAATGTCGCACACAAAGATTGTTTCATATATGTTATTGTGCCCTTCTTGTCAAGTTGATAAGAACCATAAGAGCACAATAAGGGGCACAAAAACACAACATCATCACGTTGCAAATCATTCGGTGTGGGATAAATTGAGGAGCAAAACTTTACATACGGAGTATTAAACAATTGTATGTAGTTGGTGTTTGGAGCAAAACTTTACATACGGAGTATTAAACAATTACAAATAAAATCACACAAACGTTTACAAACCAAATGAAATGGTAAACAATCCACACAAATCAAACATACTCAACATATTCTTATTTGCTTTTTCATGATAGTAATATATTTTTTTTAGGAATTTTAGTTTAGTTCCTCTTACATATATACATTGATGTTTGCCTATGTATATTTCCTATTTAATGTATATATTGCGGTTTTGGTAAAATAAACAATATTCTGGATTCAAGAATTGGTACAATTATAGGGGTGTAAAAGATCTTTCCCTAAAAGGTCACTATGTACAATTTTGTTTACTAAAGTAGCTATTAAAGTGTTAAAATTTATGCAATAAAAACGAAATGTTAAAATTTCATTTCATGTATCCCATATTAATAAGTCATGTAACTCACCAAAATGTATTTTATGGTTAGTAGTACTCGAACAGCTTCTAAGTCTAATTAGTGAAGTGTACATATACAGAGTAATTTAGAGTTACTATAATTTGCAGGAGTGAACTTATTTTTAGTAATGTCAAATCATTTTATAATAAATCTATTATCCCGTCACCATGAGTAACTTTTATAAGCATTAAAATTTAAACATAATTATAATCATTAAAATAACTAAGTTACTCTTTATCAACTATCCTTATTTGGTCATATACTATTTCTATTATTATTATTATAATTATTATTATTAAAATTATTATTATTATTAATAAAATTATAATAGTTTTATTAGTGCATTAGTTTTATTTAATAGTTATGTAATTCTATTTGATTATTAATTTAATTTATGCTCAAACTCGGCTTGAATAAAATAGATATATGACCTCTCTTTTTTCAGTGTTCAAATATATTTAAAAAATTGCAGTGAAAATGTTTAAATTTTGAGATAAATAAAATTTATTTCTATAATTTACGAGTTATTGATAGACTCGAGTCCGGATCAAACCGAATACCACTATGCTCGAACTCAGCTTGAACAACTATTCGAACTCAAAATCTAGCTCGTGTTCGAGTTTAAAAAAGCTTCTTAAGCTCAGATCACTAAATTAAATTCGAAATCACGCTCGAATTCGCGTAGTTCGAAAAAAACTCAATTCGATTACGGCCCTAAGCAGCCTAAGCTAAACTTTTTGTTTGCAATAACAATTTTTTTCCTGCTAAGCCCACCCCACTCTTCATTCCTGGATCCGCCCCTGAATATATTGCATACTTCGTCCCCCACTCCCGTCAAATGAGTGAGCCCAAAGAATGTCCCCAACCCACCAAAACCTGCCACCTCTAATCCCAACGCATACTCAATACCTGCAGGTTCTACCTTATGTATTCCCAACCAGAACCACTCAAATCAGTTTGGAATTTGGCTTTGTGATCCCAAAGATATTTCAATTCACATTCTTATCTGAAATTCATATTCCGTCTATATTAAACCAAGATTTTTATTAGTGAAAAAGATTTCACAAGCTATCATATCTTTTACGTAAACATTATTGCGATTAAACCGTTAAAATACCATTTTTTTTTCAAACCAACTATAATGTTCTTTTTAAATAAAACACTAACACAAGTATTAATAAGTGAAATATATACCAGGTTGATTTTATAATATACGTAGTACTTTAGTACATAGTTATTCCAACAATTAAAGTAGCTCAACTGTCCATGCTACCGCCATATGTAGGGGTAGATAGAATCCAGAAGCGGGAAAGCAAAGTTAGATTGCCAACTTTTAACCATTTTTAAGGCCATTTATATATATAATGGCAAAAGAGATCGAAGTCATCAAACAATCATTAAAAAGAATCCAAGAACCAGCGAGAAAAATAAACTATCAAAGAATGATGAGGCGTTTATGGGCAACTCTTGTCGGGGTTGTAATAATAAGCTTATGTTTAGTGTCTGCAGAAGAAACAGATGAGGCTGAAAACCAGAACCTGCAGCAGAACGAGTGCGTGAAGAAGCTTATGCCTTGCGTTAATTACCTGAACGGTAGCCGGGGTCCCCCGAGCACCTGTTGCGATCCCCTGAAGGACGTCATCGAGAAGATGCCAGAATGCTTGTGCCAAATGGTCAGCATCAGTGGCAGCAAAGAGGCGGAGAAGGCCGGGATTGATACGAGCGAAGCTCAAATGCTGCCAGCTAGATGTGGTCACCGAGTCAACTTCTTTGGATGCCTTCCCCCCGGTAACAATAACAACTAACACTTGGGAGTTGGGAGTGTGCATTACATATACTTTATGTGTTTCATGCATCATAAGATTATTATTAATGACATGATATTATGATATATATGATGTTTTCTTTTGGTTATCTTCAGATTCAAACTCAAGTTCAGCTGACAGTCACTCAATCCATTCAGCAAAATTGATAACAACTTCAATAATAATCATTTATAGCTCGTTTTTGTGGTGTTCATTTTTTTTATGAGTTGTGGTATGTGGTTGCTATGACTCCTATGAGGACATTATCATAAATGACCACTTAATCACCCCTTAATGTACATCATGTAAAATCTAAAGTATACCCTTATTCAGTTATCCATAAGGTTACCTCCATTCATGTGTAAGATTTTTTTATTCTAATATCACTCTTTCTTATTTTTCCATCATTTGCAATGGAGCCAAAGATTCATTATTTTTTGGCTTGAGATTATGATGGAATAAAGCAAAATAACTCACTAAATTGTCTGCACTTCTTTGTTATGAAGCAGCAGTCGGTCCATGCAATTTTGGATGGGATTTTCACTATGGGTCATCCAGAAACAGTCTCTCTGTGCTTTAGTACGAGGGTAAAACTGCGTACATCCGACCCCCCCTACCCCGCCGTAGGTGAGAACCTTTGCGGCACTGGGGTAAATGAAAATGAAAATGAAATCATTCTTTCTTATTACTACTGATCCGTAATGAAAGGCTTTATATATGTAAGGTTTGGAGGTTCTCCATCCAAAAAATAGAATGCGTCTGAAAGCCTCACTTTTTTCCCCAAAAAGGCCGTGATTAGGCTTGGACACGGTGCGGGCCAACCGGTCCGGGAACCGGCCCGACCCGCTACTATGTGGGACCGGCCCGGCCCGGGAAACCGGGTCCGATTCCGGTTCGGGCCTAGGCCCGGGGGTCTACCGGTTCCGGGCACGGGGTAAGGGAAAAGGGGAACCGGCCTGGCCGGGCCAGGCCCGGTTCGGGCCTTTTTTTTATTTTTTTGGTTTGGGCCGGGGTTAGTTGGGCTGGGCTGGGTATTTCCGAGGGGTTTGGGGGGTTGGGGGGGATGGGGGTGGGGGGTGAAATACATAAGAATAAAAAAAATGAACCAGAACCGGCCCGGCCCAGAATCGGTCAAGACCCGGGCCGGTCTCGGGCCTATGGATACGGAACCGGCGGTCCGGCCCGAGTCCAAGCCTAGCCGTGATCAACAAAAGCTCTTTTTTATTTAATGTATTTAAAAAAGCATGTTGCAACAAATCAAATCTGCTAAAATTTAGTTGAACCATCAAATAAATTTAAAAATTACTGTAACTACTAAAGATGATTTCTAAAAGTTCTACCTTGCTAAAGTGACTCTGTATAGATTATTCTTTACTCATATTGATCATTATCGAACCGAACTAGAAACATTCAAACCGTACCAGAGAGATTCAAATGAAACCAAATATTATACTACGTATTTGGTATTTCACAGTATTAGAGATATTCAGATCATATCAGACAAAAAACATTAGAACAAAATCAAACCAAAAAGATTTGAACCTCATAAGATTATTCATTTTCAGGCGAAGAGCATAGGGGCTAAGACTTGTGATGATATGACTTTGAGACGGAGTGATAGCATTTCATTTCATCAGAAGTGTCTAATTGGACAGTAAATTATCCATTTAAAAAACATAACCCTCAACCAAGCTGCCTATTGTTACACTCCATAATCATAAACAAACACAAATTAATCATCTTATTACACAGTGATCTTACTCTAAATCTGCAAGGGGGGAAATTACACTTGAATTTAATATCAAAATTAAACAATTTCATCAATGAAATTGTGGTACCTACTACTCAAGTAGCCAATCAGTTTTGATTAACCTACTCTTTTTTACCACCATAAAGAACAAAAATGGAAGCTTAGGGATTCTTTCCTAACCAAAAAATCTATAAAAGAGAGAAACCACTCAATGTGTAAAACATCTTATGCTTACCAGGCGTTTCCATGTCTCTGCCCTTCAGAGGAGAAATCATCCTGGTATGTGTGCATTGTAGGATAACTTTTGTCAAAAGCATTTCAGTCCTTATATTTACAAGTAGAGAGAAGCAGCAAAGACAATGTCCCTCTTGATCTTGCTAACAGCATCTTCAAATTTGGCTTCAAGCTCAGTTTCACCGATGGATTGTGCAGCTTGTATTAGCTGTTGAAGGACTTCTTCCAATCTTCTAATAGCCCTAATTAAACTCCCTTCAAAGACCTGAGTGAATTCCATTATCTCGTAAAACTTTGACCCCTTAGCCCAAGCATAGATAGCTTCCATTATATCAGGTCGGAAGGAACTGACAAAGTTTTCCACATCGATTTCGACCTGTGACAACAATCATAACAAAAAAATACTAAATATGGGATTAACAACTACAAAGAACAGTTTGAATTAAATCACCATAATTATTCTGCATAAATTCAATACAAAGCGTTAGCAGGGGGCAGACTGGCGGTTAGCACCTACACGGCACGGGGCTGACAGACCATAGACAGCATAATTCAAGGAAAAATTCTTTTCATAACAACAAAATGCTAAATATATAATAACCACCCTTGTTTGGTTGAGAGATTTCACAGGGTGGGTGATATTTAGTTGATAAACATTTCTTACATTTAGATGGTTGGAAATAAAGTGAAGATAATAAGTATGTAAGAAACACATGAATTCACTAAATATATACACCCCCATCCCCAATCAGAATCATCATATTTGAAAGGTCATTTTTCCCAGTGCTATTTGAACAAAAAAACTATTGTTCATTGTTTTTTATGAAAAACAATGTTGAAAGTGTTCCAGACAGATGAGTTTCAATATATATAGCTAGACTTTGATGATTTCAAATAGTTATATCTCACTAATACTAAAAAGTTCTACCTTAGTGACACAGTACTCACTAGTGAAACAGTACTCACTAGTACTATCCTCCGTTCTTTAATTCTTGCAACAGTTTGACTTTCACGTTTGCCAACGCACAACTTTGACTGTAATTATGTATTAGTAAACTTTATAAAAATTTGATATTTTTGAAATTCACATTGATAGGAATTTAATAACATTTTATACGTAATAATTTGATTATGTATATTAGTAGAAAATCGTGGTATGTGAATAGTGCAAAAATCACAATGTTACAAGAATTAAAGAATGGAGGAAGTATTTCTTTTATAGTCTAAGACTCACAAATAGAGAATATTTAAGTAGTAAAATAACAATGCAATCCTCTCCCCCCCCCCCCCCTCCTCCCAAATCTCCAAACCAAAATACCTTGCATTCAAGCTGAACTTTGGCAACCTTGCGAGCTGTATCTTGTAGTTGTGTGAGCAGCATACCAAGCTCATCTCGGGGCTTTTGAGCATCATGAAGTTTCTCTTGCCACACAAAACAAGAAAGCAGAGACACCATCTCTTCTACTTTAATTTCTTTGAAAACACCGTTAAACATGAGCTCGGTCAGAGTTAATTCATCTGCACTGCTGATCTCACAAGCCACTTTTCCCTTCAATTCCACGACATCATCTCTGGTGATATATCTGTAAATTAAAAAGATTTTATAAGCACTACACTTTATATGGCATCATATCACATCAATTATTTTATTTTAAACTTATAAAAAGATGAGTGCAAATCAGTTAAAGAGAGCAGCATATTTTTAAAATGTACACTTTGAGGGGTGGTAATCATACCCGAGTCTCCTCAGGACTCTTTTCCTGGCTTTAAGTTCATCTTTGAAAGCTAAGACAGTGGACGCACGCACTTGTTTCTTAATTGATTTGATTCTGGCAGTGAGCTCTTTCTTTTTGTGCAAAACTTTAAGCTTTTCCTCGATGAGAGGTGATTTTGCTATGCCATGCTTTTCAAACTGTCTCTCCAATGCCTCTATCCTCCGTGCAGCTTTGGCATACGAACTACTTTTAACCTGAAAAACAGAAAAGGTGTTGATGGAATGATCACCCCGAAAAAGTTTAAAACTGATAAGAAGGCAAGGTTGGCTCTATACCTTCATATCAGCATCCGGGTCTAATAGAATCCCATCTTTTTCATGGCTAGAAATAAAGTTGCAAACCCTTTTCAAGGTATTATTTCGAACTTCAACCGGTAAAAGGTCCTTAGGTATTGTCAGGCGACGATTAGACAAACTCTCAATCTGTTGAGATGCACATCAGGACTAGAAGTCATTTCTAGAGAACTGCTTATATAACCATTTCAACTCAGATACCGCTTAAAGCAGCGCATAATAAATAAATGAACATTACACAAAGGAGAAAAAACACACAAGCACTCCAAATTCTCATGTTTCCATATCATATAGAGAAGTGAGGGGAAAAATTTACTCAGTTGACATCTACAGAAATACAAAAGCATAAAAAGATAAAATAAAACTAAATTCCCCAAAATGAAGGCCACATAGAAGTGTCATTGAAGTGTACGCATATCACGACCCCATAAAAGTAAATACACATATACAGCTCAATAGTAAGTAATAACAAAAAGCTTACCCTGGATAATGGAATAGAAGCAACAGCAGCCTCCCCAGGATCTTTTAAGGGCACAACTTTAGATGTTTTTTTACCAAGTTCATCTTTTTGCACGATGCATCTGGTAAGGATATCTACAGAGTAGTTGGCATCCTCTGGTTTCTTATCTATATCATCTGAATAAGATTCAAGAACTGCACATTAACTTTGAGTAACAAAAGAAAGGCAAAAGATCATAGCAAGCTGTGTTATCTACTCGCCGGCGAGTACTCGGCAAGTACTCGCAACTCGAGGGTAGCCATCTCAATTAGCCCCTGACTCGGCTGCTTTTTCCCGAGTTACTCAACGAGTACTTGGCGATATTCTTAACGCTGGCGGAGTTACTTTTTTGGGCTAAATCTGAAAAGTAAAAATTAAAGTGGGATACTGTGGGAGTTATAAATAATGAGTGCATATTTAACAATTGGAAAAAGAGACATTACAAATAACTCGTGGGAATCTGACTAGTAAAGATCTTAGGAAGATCAAATTAGGGACATGGAGGACGAAGAAGAAAATGACGACCTTGAACTCGATGAAGATTAGTTTCGGACTAAATTATTACATGATTGATTTTCTGGATAACTTGGAATGTTTATGATTTTGCTACTTCATGATTAAGATTAGTGTGGTTTTATTCATATCTAAGAATTATAAGAGGATCTATATTTTAAAATTTAATTAATACAGAGCCGAGTAATCCCGGTTACTCAGTCCTACTCGCCCTCAGCCCTTGACCAAGTTACCACCGAGTAGCAATTGAACTACTTAGATAGCAAAGTGAACTCGTCTCACCTTCAGAATGACCTTTTACCCTCTCAAAGTTGAGTATGACTCCCCATGTCACGCTTTCATTGATAGAGAAGGAGGGAGTATCATCGTTCGTATCTGTGCAGTACACACTTGCAATCCTCCCAGGCTGCAGAAAAGGTAAGCAGTACTTTGGAGAAAGGACTATGTCATGTGCATCCTTTTTCAGGCTTTTGTACAGTTGTAACAGTGAGTAGTAATCCTCCAAACTATCTTCTTCTTCAAGAACAATTGAGTCTCTCTCTTCCGCAAGTATATTTGCTTGTTTCTGCAGGCATCTTTAGTTTTCAGAACGATTCTGAAAAAAGAAATAGTTCTAACGTTTAATGACCTATTGCTACCACTCAACTGACCTGAAGATCAGGAATTGCTCGGTCTGCTTGAAATTGATAAAAAGAATTCCTAAGCAAACTTTCAGGATCACCTTCTTCACATCGTAACTGATTCAAAAGCATGTTGTAGCTAAGATGGAAAGCACTGCGGAAAATGGCAATGAGTATCAGTTAGATATTAGATATACACATTTGTAACACATTAACACAAACACAGCCTCAAAATTGATTCTCACGTTTGGGCTAGAAAACGTGATTTTTGTTCTTTTTCACTCCCCACTCCACCCCCACCCCCCTAATAATAATGTATGCTATTCCAGCAACGAAAGAAACATGTGAGACATAAAATACCACACTAAAAGATTCAATGCAGGACTTTCTCCAAAACTACAATAGATGTATATAGAGAAGATGAGAAAAAGATAGAAAGCAGCAAGTCAAGTACAAAGATACATATATCATATTTGAAAAAATAGACAAATAAATAAACACTAGAGATGTCATAATTGAAGCAATGCCTAAAGAAGAATGAATACCTATTTAACGGATCAGCACTTCCTTTTAGCATCAATTTAGCTGTAGAAGGTTCGAGCTTCTCATCAACCATCAGGATGCAAATACCACGGTCATCAATTCCTCGACGACCAGCACGCCCACTCATTTGTATATATTCACCACTGGAAATCCATCTAAACTTATCTCCATCAAATTTGCGCACATTTGTGAAGACAACAGTTTTTGCAGGCATGTTCAACCCTATGCTGAAGGTCTCTGTGGCAAACAAACACTAAAAGTAACACTTATATCAATGCATGAAATGGTGTCAAGTCAGTATGGAAAGAGAGGTAACAGGGATAACAAAGAAATATTATGCAGACACTAGAGCACCCATTTATCAAATATATAGAATGAAAGAAAGATTAAATTATACTCCTTGCGTCCTACAAAATTCTTCCCGGTTTGACTTGGATTGAAGTTTAAGAAAGTGGGAACAAAATGGAAATGTATGGTTGTGGTTTAGTAAGAAAAAAGTAAATTCTTTTATCTTCTTTATCTTTCTATGTTTTTATGTTATTTTTATCTTTTATCTTTCTTATGCTCTTTTATCTTTTTATCTTTTATCTTTCTTATGCTCTTATGTTATTTTTATCTTATATTTATCTTTTCTTATCCATTTTATCTTACTTTATCTTTTTATTCTTCTTATCTTTCTTGTCTTTTTGGCTCTGATATCATGGATCGATTCATATTAGCGCACCCCAAAATCTTTTGGGAATAAGGCTTTGATGTTGTTGTTGTTGTAGATACCGTATTCAATATTTAAAAAACACTAAATTATCATGTTACCTAAAATTAATCTCTACTTCGAAATAAATAAACAATTGTTAGAGTCAACATAAAGAAGGAAGGAAATACAGAAACAAAACAGGGTCATTCACATTTCTAAAAGTAAGTGGCACCAACCTTAATAAACCCTTCTTGAAATAGGATTTCAATCACTTCTTTCAATATAGGAAGCAATCCAGAATGATGCACACCAATTCCACGTTTCAATAAGGGCAACATGTTTGAAACCTGAGATACAGCAATAGTATCATTACTTTTCATTAGTATTAGGGCAATAAGCTGGATTCATGTGCCTTCTTAAACGGCCAGAAGAATGCCCCCACCCAAGGAAGTCAAAGTCATGAGGCAAGTCATGAGGTGCAATCAAGGCTCTAGAGTACTCTATCACCTAAGGCACAAAAAAAGCACTTGCCTGACTCATATCAAGCCCAAGGTTTACATAATATAATGTATACTATTCTGAAATTACTATCAAACAGGATATATTTAACATAGTTGAGCTAAACACATAAATATAATACAACAACAACATCCAAGCCTTAATCCTAGAAGAATTTGGGGTCAGCTAACATGAATCGATCTATGATATCGATGCCAAAAAGAGGACGGACAGGAAAAGGAAAAAAAAGGTAAGATAAAATGAATAAAATAAAGAAAAAAAATATAAGATAACAATAACACAAGAATATAAGAAAGATAAAAGATAAAAAATAAAAGAGCATAAAAAAGGTAGAAGATAAAAATAACATAAGAATATAAAAAGATAAGGAAGATAAACGATAAAAGAAAAAAGAGAGGAAAGGTAGACAAAACATCAATCGTCCACACGGATGTGCGCCCTCCACTTTGCTCTCTCCAAAGCCATACTCTCATCCAACCAAAGAAGACGCATATCAGTTCTAATTCCTCTAATCCAAGTCTGTTTGGGTCTTCCCCTCCCTCTCTTCTCTAACTCTTCTCCCCACCCATCAAGTCGTCTAACAGATGCATCACTCGGTCTTCTACGCACATGCCCAAACCACCGCAAACGAGACTCCTACATCTTATCTTCTATAGGTGCTACTCCCACCTTTAGTCTGATTACCTCATTCCTCAAGCGGTATTTTCCGTTAAAAGTTTAAGGTTGAGAGTCGAACCCTGGACCTATGCAACTAAGCAATTCACGCGTCAGAGCTACCTCCAGTATGCTACGGAAGCATTTAAACGCATAAATATGATATAAACATAAAAATCTACATACTTTTATAGTGAATGCAAATACAAAAAAAGACATGATTCACCAAAACAAAACAACAAATTCAGAAGTAATAACTTAAATAAAATTGGAATCTATTTACTAGAACAAAATTGAAACTTATTTCACAAAAAAATGGTAATAAAGTTGAAATTGAAACCCCAAGATGATGAACTTTGTATTACTGCAATACCATGTATGGCTGTATTCCATATTACATGTAATCCTTAAAAGTTAATACACTAACGATGGGCTCATCCACTCATATCTTATTTAGAATTTGATAACTTTTATCTTTTATCTGAAATAAAATAGGCCCAAATAATACATTTTTCCCCAAACACTAGCATTTAATGATAAAAAACTAAAAGCAGATATATGTTCCACTTTAGAAGATGTGGTATAATCTTACTTGTGGCAGCTTTCTATCATCATCGGACAGCATGTCCATAGCACTCCAAAAGATGCTATCAATGTTCACCTTCTCATCATCATTGTTTAAATCCATTTTAGCCATCTAGAAATATTCCAAGTATATATAGCAGCATTTAGTCCATAACAAAAGGGAACCGATACTTCACAAAAAAAACATATAAAGCTATTTTCAGTATTTGATTGAAGTGAATCGTGTATATGAATATATGATGTACTCCCGGTGTCCCAAAAAAGGTCCTCTTTTGGTAAGTTGCTACTAAACTTTAGTCAACTCAATCGAAGTATAAGTTTTTACAAATACTGCATGGTCAGTTGGTCACGCATATACTCCTAAAACTTATTTCCAAGATTGTTCGTAGTTATTGACTAAAACTGCTTACTGCTTGGCTTTTCAGGAACTCTGTGTAAATATAAAAGTTAAATTTTAAAACCAGACTTTTTCTTTGAGGCTACTGCAATAGGACACTTTATTTTGGGAGTTAGAACGGAGTGTGTAATATATGTCATTAAAAAACAAGTGAAAAGTTGATTGACCAGTGACAAGATTTCTTAACTGAAGATGGATGTTGAAACTGGCATCGCAATACAGGTTATACAGCTACCCCACTTAAATGGAAATACAACTATTATCAAATTAAATCAAGGCAGAGAGGACAAACCTGCATTGCAAGAAATTCACACTCTCTTTTACTGAAGCTAAAACATATTACAGGGTCATACTGACGTTGTATGAGCATTTTCACCATTTTGAATATATCACTGTCCTCACCCACTTTACCAGCAACGAAACCCTTATCTCGTTTTCCATTATCTCTTTTCTTGTGCCCCTCACTAGCAGGAACAAGGGCATTCAAAGATTTCTGAAAGCTTTCCTCACGAAATTTTCCCTTTTCATCAACCACCAAGTATAGACCCTCACCACCAGAAGGAAACATGTAATGCTGAAGGGGTGTAGGTCGATAGTCCGTATAAACAATATGGCATGGTTGCTGGTGGACCTACACTTGGATAACCAGAATCAGTACCACTATCATAATAAACGTGGAAATTCTTGACAATGATAAATCATGTATGATCAAAATTGAGTCTTCTATGTCCTTTTCAAATACCTTAGCAACCCAATCTGCAAACTCCTTGGCATTAGGCACTGTTGCTGAGAGAAATACAAAACGAGAATTCTTTGGGGCCATCACAATACTCTCCTCCCAAACTACACCTCGTTCTCTATCACGCATATAGTGTACTTCATCAAAAATAATCCAGGCCACCTCCCTAACAACTTCTGATCCCTTGTACTGCATACTCCGCCAGATTTCTGTGGTCATAACCTAAAATTGGATCATGTGTTAGCCACAGAATCCGATTGATACACAATATGTAAATACAAACATCAGAAAACTCTTCTTGAGCATGAAGATATACCAAGCAGGAAGCGTTGGGTTCAATGGTGACATCTCCAGTCATCAATCCCACATCAGAAAACTCTTCTTTAAACTCTCTGTACTTTTGATTGCTAAGTGCTTTGATTGGTGAAGTGTATATCACACGTTGATTATTCTTCAAAGACATGGCAATGGCGTAAAGAGCCACAACTGTCTTGCCAGCTGAGGTATGCGCTGACACCTATCACAAAATTCAGTACAATCTCCAATAAAATCTACTCTGTAATAACAATAAACAGCATATATGGAAACTTTTATACCCAAAATGGTGCAGGACATTGTGAAGATATGAAATACGTAGTATTACCATGACAGATTCACCAGTGTTAAGGCATTTAATTGCTTCGGACTGAAAAGGGTCCAGCGTAAAAGGGAACTCTTTTGCAGGTTTTAAGTCTTCTTCAGACTTGGCCGAGCTTGAATCACGAGGGACATAGCCCTCCGGATAAGAGACGTCATGAAGACAAGCCACTGGCTCATCCAAACCCAAGAAATTACTCTCTCGCTGCTGCTTTTCTGGTCGAGCTATATGACTTATATCAGTAGGAACTTCTTCCGACTTCCTCTTCAACGAACTCATATCTCCTTGCGCAATAGATAGCTCAGCCTAGACTCTGAGTTGAAAGCAAAGAGAATTGAGCGTCAGTCGTTTACTCCTCCTCTGGTTTGGTGCTCCTACTCCATCTTCCCTTTTCAAGCACGGACACAAACGGGAGAAAGTTGTTGCGCCTTTAGGTCTCAGCGGAGGAGTTTCGGATTTTTTATTTTGTGAGGGCGGGGATTTGATTATGGAGTTCTTTCCCAAAAACTGAAAAATGGGAATGAGCCCAAAAACTAGAACTGAAAAATGGGATTGAAAATAAAGGATTTCCATTTGGTAATAATTCAAATTGATTGATGAAATTCTAATTCAATTAGTTGAATCTAGTTAATTATGAAGAAAAAAATTAAAAAATACTACTTTCCTTTCATTCAAATGTTTCACGCCACTATTCACATGATCAACTTAATTCATTCTTAATTTTTTGCATTATATATCAAAATTTTATCAAATTTAAATTTTCTTGATCAGGTTTTGTAAAATTTTTAATGTACTTCCTGAATATATAAATTTTATTTACTGAAAATAATATGTGTAAATAGAGATCAGGTTGTTTTATCGTAAGTCAAGTATCGTAAACAGAATCAGGAATCTCTCTATGGGACGAAGGGAGTACTTCGTATTTTGTTAATCAAATTAAGAAAGATTTATATGAAATAATTAAAATGAACTTCAACAACATTAACTTTAGTCAATTCAGTTAGAAAAATAATATCAATTTTACTCACTTTTCTAATTATGCAATTCAACACGCAAAATAAAACATTATGTATTTGATTAAAAAAATTGACTCATAAGATTGACTCGGTTAGAAAAAATTGACTCTAAGAGACACATATTATGCGACTCATATTAGAAGATTCGTTACTTTATTTTAACTGACGCGGAAGTGTCTAGCTCGACTCATCGTCCTTAGGGTTTAGTTCTCAGCGGTCTCCATTCATGATTTCTTGGTTGCCGAGAGATAATAGACAGGTAGGAGAGAGGCGATCGCAAATAGGGTGGTTGATTTCAAGAACAGAAAGCGTTCGAGACAGAGATAATCGTCGGCTTGCAGAGATGTCAACTAGTGCAGCAATAAATTCTCTGAATCGAACTTAAGAGCAGTTGGCTTTGGAAGAAAAAGAAGAAGATGAATTGGTGTTGTAATCTGATCCAGACAATGTCAGTCAAGGGGTAGGGCTCTCCATTGTTGGAAATAGTACTGCTGAAAAGTCGGAACATTTCTCTTTCTTTAAGGAAACTATTGCAACTTTTCGGAAACCTGTTAAAGGGGTTTCTAATAAAGAATTAGGAGATCGCCGTGATGGAGTATATGGCCCGGGAAACCCCGGGCCACAGACTCCTACTACTCCAATAATGGCCCAATAGGCCCAGGAAGCACAACAGGCCCAAATCACGACACCCAGAGTACCAAGCAGCCCACAATGCGCACCAGGGATGCCTTCGGCCCCCTGGCCGAAGGCTCTAATTCTCACAGGATGGCCAAAACAGGAAAACTATGTTACTAGGAGAAAATGGCGAAAATCAGTAGCCCTCGGTACCTAGAGCCCTCGGCACTAAGGAGGTCCCCGGCACTCGGAGCCCTCGGCTAGTCCTCTACAGCCGAGGGCACCTTTTCCGACATAATATTCGCTCCACATGCGTATGGATCACCATACCCAGTACGACGTCCCATCCAACAGCCGCATTAAATGCGGCCACATGCGATTGCCAGCGCCAACCAGTTGAGGTGACCTCTCGGCCAATGGACGCTTGACACGTGTCCCTGTCTGGCATTTATTACTACTATAAATAGCACCTCATTTCCCCATTTGTAACCAAGAGACAACACGCTGAAAACGCTGAATACATTTCTAATATACTCTCTCTCTCTCTACTTACTTGCTCTGACTTCTCTCTAGTTATTCCATGTAATAACCCCTCGGATAAGCTACCCCCGGGCAGACTATCCTTCATTTGGTGCTCTCGTTGAGTGGAAGAGAGAAAAGAAGCGGGGTGCTCAGTTTACGTGGGTGGTTGACTTATATCCTTCATTTACTGCTGACTTCTCTCGCCGAGGGGTGCTCAGTGGTACGCTTCTTTTCTTGGTACCGGGGGCACTCCTCCTCCTCTTCTTACAGGTTCCCAATCTCCCTCTTTTTGCCGAGGGGGATGGTGTTGGGGTTGATCCATGCATTTGTTCTCGCAGCCTGCCCTCGGGTTGGCCCTTGGTGAGGGGGGCCCTGTTGCTGAGGGCCCTGGATAAACTGGGACAGATGGCCCGTTTGTATCAATCTTTCGATGGCCGTCTTCAGCTGATGGCAGTCATCGGTCATGTGCCCCTGGTGTCGGTGGAAACGACAGTAGGGGTAGTTTGGATTGATGGCGAATACTTCCGGGGGCGCGCGTGAATCTCGCTCCACTAGGCCGAAAGGGGTGGTTGGGTGGAAGAGCTCCACAACATCTTATGGGCCTACCGTACCACCCCTCGGCGGGCAACTGACGAGACATCCTTCTCCCTTTGCTACGGATTTGAAGCTAAGGCCCCCACTGAGGTAACTCTTCCAACCCGAAGGGTCACACAGTATGATCCAGAGGCCAACGACGCCAATATGGCCCTCGACCTCCACCTAATTTCAGAACGCCGAGAGCAAGCCTTCATACGCGCAGAAAACTACCGAAGACAAGTGAAGAGTTACATTGACGCTAAGGTCCGCTCCAGGGAATTCCAAGTGGGGGACTATGTTCTCCGAAGAAGGGAAGCTAGCCAACCAACCGAGGGCGGAAAGATGGCACCAAAGTTCGAAGGCCCCTACATCGTGGCAGCCATCATCAAACCGGGAACTTACAAGCTAAAACGCCCTAATGGGACTGGAGTCCCTAGGCACTGGAATGTACATCACTTAGTTAAATTTTATCAATAACATGAGAGTGGCCAAGCCCTCATGACTAGTGAATGTATTATTTCACGGCCCAAGGCCTAAAAATTCTGAAGAGCAAAGGCATTTTGAAGACACCAAGAACATGGAACAGGATTCTTACGAAGGGCCAAGCCCTCATATCACCCCCTGGCCCAAGGCCTTACCCCAATGAAGAACCCTCGGCACCAAGTGCCGAGGGTAGACAATACTATCACCTACAACGAAAAGAGAGTACCAACTGTCCTCAAACGGAGACTCCTCGGCACCTGGTGCCGGGGGGACACACCACTAACAGCTTTCAACAAATGGGAAGAAACACCAAGTGTTTCCACAGAAGACCCCTCGGTACCAAGTACCGAGGGTAGACACCACAATCCCCTACGACAAATGAAGAAAAACACCAAGTGTTTTCACAGATGCCCCCTCGGTACCAAGTACCGGGGGCCGCACATCGGAACAAACACCAAGTGTTGTTTCTAAGCCGTACCCCTCGAGGACGCCTATACCGAAGGCGCCACCTCTCGGTGCCGGCAGCACGTAGTGCCCCCGGCCATTTGCAACCAATGTGCAAATGAAAACCCTTCCCTGAAACGCTTTCCGCGTCATCACCCCAAGGGTATGACAGGCACGAGAAATGCCCAGGATTCGACTTTCAAAAACGGAACGCTTTCCGCGTCATCACCCGAAGGGTATGACAGGCACGAGAAATGCCCAGGATTCGACTTCCAAATCGAAACGCTCCCCGCGCCACCCCCCCAAGGGTGTGGCAGGCCACGGGCTATGTCTAGCGTCGAGGGGACGACTTTCAAAACTGAGGCGCTTTCCGTGCCATCCCCCAAGGGGGGGCAGGCTACAGACCACCATATCTTGTACCCAGGAAACAACCCTCGATCCCCTCGGAACTCGGAAGGTTAACCCGAGGGGGGAGCTAATGGTGTATTCTGTTACCTCCCGATAGTCCAAGCCTTACCAAGAAACCAAGTTTCTTGAAGCCTTCCCTTCACTACTAAAAAAAAAGGTGAAGGGGAGTAGACTCAGCAAGAAATCAATGAGTACATCACTCCTACAATTCACGGAAACATACCGAGGGCTCCCCAAGGGAACGCCTTCGGTACCTGGACGCTCATGAGTACCAAGGATACCATTCAACACAGACATCATCAACAAATGGCTAAGTCCACTCAAGGATTGCCTCCGGCTATACCTAAAACCGAAGGCCCAAATACTACAAAACACGGCAAGCTCAGCCAACGACAGCTCAAAACGTCCCCGAAGGCTACTATATAACAAAGCTATCAGATGGTGGCCAAACCAAATCAAGAATCACCTCCGGCACCTCACTACATGTCGAGGGGATACATCCAGACAGTTCCCGAGGGAGTCTGTCTTTTTATGCTAGATTTGGATTACAAACTCTCTTATATCAACATTGGGGGGACATAACTAACAACTGAAGCCTTTTTTTGCCACGGGCCAACATTACAAGGCAAAGGAAACTATCCTAAACCTACAACGTATACAGCCAAAGGGTCCCCTCCCGAAGGCCAGCAGCAGGAAATACTTAGAGAAAATAATCTAAGTCCTAAATACTTTACCCCCTGTGGGACCACCAGCCAGCCGAGGGCGCATCTGAGGCAAGGTCCTCACATTCACCCGAAGGCTCCTCCTTCATACAAACTACACTTAGAAGAATTTCTAAGTCCCAAAAGTTTTTCTACCCTCGGTCAAATCTCCATGCAGCCAGAGGGGCCGCACAGTCAAAGGCTTGATGAAAATACACTCAGAAATATTTTCTAAGTCCTACATATTTTGACCCTCGGTCAAATCTCCATGCAGCCCGGGGGGCCACACGGTTGAAGACTTGGTAAAAGTATACTTAGAAAAATATTCTAAGTCCTAACTATTTCTGGGCCCTCGGTCATATATCCAGCCAGCGAAGGGTACCCAACTACCGAAGGCTAAACTGTATTCAAACACTTAGAAAAATTTTCTAAGTCCTAAGCACCTCGCCTCCGGCTATCTCATGAGGGCTACACAAAACCAGAGGGAAGGAACCGGCCGGGGGGGCAACAGATGAACAAACACTTAGAAATATTTCTAAGTCCTGAACATTGTGCCCTCGGTGAAAGGTTCAACTGACTAAATAGGCCTAGTAGCCGAGGGCTACGAGAGGCACTACACTTGGAAGAATATATTCTAAGTCCTAAACATACATACATAAAAATTGATTTCAATGTAAACAATGAAAAGTGGAGTCTAGTTGTAAACTACGTACTTTATGTAAATATAAGAGATATAAAAAGTGATACTATGTATATTCTTTTAAAACAGCCCCTAATAAATTCCGGTAAAATAACGGGTCGAATCCACAAGGAAACGTTGTTTAATTTAGTCCGTGAGTAGATAACTTTAAATGAAGAAATGAGTAAAGTGCAGGGATTTTGATTTGTGTTTTATATTTTTGGGTTTTTCACTTTTTTTCAAGAAGATAATCGTTAACTAATTTTGAGTTTAAGATGAATAATAACAACAACTAAGACTTCGGGAATCACTTAAATGCTTTAATAGAGTTGAATATTAGTTCTTTACCAATAATTATGAATACGATGTCGCTAATATATTCTCAACTCCGGTTAAGGCACCGAGAGCGTGGTTTTCGTTACGTGTAAGTCCCGTTACGACTTACATTCATCTACCGAAAACTCTGTTGAATATCAAGATATCACACCCGTATCATTTAAGACCGGATATATTTCTATTCTCGGTATTATATATGTTTATCCTTTAATGTTCATAGTTTAGACTTCAACGTTAATTGCAAGTATAATCTAAATTTAACATACTTCTGTGTTGTACACTATAGTCATAAACAATCAATATATAAAGGACAAATCACAATTTATTGGTTTAGAACTTTTATCAAACACCTAGTGGGCATAGAAGTTCATCCCTAGCCTTAGCTAAGAATTTAGCCTCTAATGCTCATATTAATCACAATACAATAATAAATGTAATGGAACATGAAATTACAAAGGAAATAATACCTAAACACCAATGATTTCGGAGGATGAACTTCCCTCCTCAAGAACTTGAAGAAAATACCAAGAACAAAAATATAAAAGCTAAGAATTAATCTATGGAATCAAATGTGTTTGTTTGATGAATTGAGGGCTTTATATAGGCTAAAGAATGACATCTTTTAGCCTATTCGAGCCCAACAATCAGATATGGAGCAATATTTGATCAAGAAATGAGGAAGATGGAGTTTTCCCGTCAAAAATTCTCTTGCGCCGGTTAAACTTTGAACGAAGGTAAAATCTGGAATTTTGACATAACCGGCTCTGGTTATAGGGGTAACCCGGCGCCGGTTAAGCTACTGGTTTGTGTATATGTGCAAAAAATCATTAGATCGGCGCCGGTTTAGTGAAATTCCGGCGCTGGTTTTGTCCTGGGATTTTGGGGATGTTCCGCTACGAATTTGGACATGATTTCTTCACCAAAGTTGTAGATAATGAAGTCTTCTATCCACCAAAACTTTAATGAAGTCGTTTCAATCATCTAATCAAAAGTTATGGATAAAACACTGAGAGGTATGCATCCTGAAATCCCGTCAGCAACATCTGACTTTATTGGTTGATTGAGTCTTGATCCTTTCATATTCTGGCCATGATGTCTTCATAACATGTGTACCTTATTGAGTTAAAATTCACATGAAATTCAAATCGAGTGATTTAGAGTTCTCTACAATACGTTATACTCGAATTATGGGCATAACGTCATCTTATAGGTCCAAAAAGCTCTTCATCACAATGTTTTATGCTCTAGCTCTCATTGTGAAGGTATTTGCCTGATTTCTCTTCTTTTCTTCAACAAATATTTATAAATACTTATGTTAAACACAAGTAAATATAACGACTATCACACATGTGAAAATGTAATTTCGCGCACATGATGATGTAAAACGTGCACATGAAAATGTAAGTCGCGCATAAGAACATTTAACTTCGTGTATTATCAAATGTAACTTTAGGAATCATGTATAAATGTAACTCACACATGTGGAAATGTAAAACACACATATGAAAATCTAAGCTCATGTTTTATTGAATGTAAATTGAAATACTCAAACTCAGTGCCTTAAAAACCCACTAAAAACATATAAAGAGATGAAAATATATTATAGAAAGAATGTATAAATATGAAACAATATACGAAGTATTACAAAACAAGTGCATGGATGAAAAAAAATATTATAGAAAAAATAGTGTTTTTTGCAAATATAGAAAAAAGTGTATGAATATGAAATACAATATATTTATTTTATTTAGGTTAATAAACTTTTTATTATGAGTTAACAAAGAATAAAGAATAGATTGAGTTGTAATTTAAGTTGAAGATAAAGAAAAGTTAATTATAATTAATCTTTCAGTGTTTTGATGGAAAATGAGAAAAGAATTGAAGAAGAGAAAATTAAAGAAGAAGCCAAGTAAAATAAAAAAAACGATGCACCGGGAAGAAAAAGAGAGAATGTAAATACATAATATTTTATGCGGTGTAAAATATTATGTATTTAGATAATAGTTTGTATTTACATTCTCTCCTTTTCTTCCCTCTAGTACATCAATACACCGTACGCACGATGTAACGATCTCACGATATAATATGCGAGATTAGAATTATTTATCATGAAAGTCATTGAGGCGAATTCAAACTATATATAATGGGATACATGCTTCCAATGAAATCCCAATAACTAGCTTTGGGAAAAAATTATTAAATGTGTAATGCAATTCCCCCAATTAAAAAAAGAGGCCCCGTTGATAGCATTCTTGGAAAATAATGTCAATATTAAAATTGTCATACTCTATTCACCCTCATATCCTTTGTTCAATTTTCTATCATATCCTTCATTGAACGCGTACCATATTTGTTAATATTCAGATGGTTACAACCATACACCTGTATCTTAAGGGATGCGGACAATATACAGTGGAGGACCTAGGAGAGGGGTTGGAGGCAAGTATACCGTTTTCTACTCCGAAATTTAGTACCCCTTATTAGTTTTTATGATAAAATCAGTGCCTCCCCTTCCTGGATAAAAAAGTGTAACCATTAGATATGTAATAATTTCGCCAAAGAGCATATGTAAATTGTTATAATACATTTAAACGACTATGGAGTTATGATGAAGCGCTTTCGTGCGGTTATAAATGTTCTTTAAAAAGTAGAATTTGTGTTTCTTTGTGAAGTATGAATTATCTTTTTTCAAAGATAGAGATCAATAATATGACGAGAGTTCTAATATGTGTGATGAGTTTAATGATTTAAGACTATTTTAAATGGAATTCCATACATAAGATATATTCACTGTTTTCTCACCAATTACAATTAATTGTTTGTGGATATACTTGTTTGGATATTTGTCCATGGTTACATTACTGAAATGTTGGGATCTTATTGTAAAATAAAGACCATATTTCGATAAAAAACAACACGAAATCATAAGAGTTATCAGAAAAGGACGTACTTACAACCGGGAGATGATTGAATCAAGACATTAAAGTAGTTTAGCTCTGTCAGGAGTTACATGTTAGGGTTCATATTTTATTGCCTAGACGATGAATAAATTTTTGACACGGTAATATTGTGGCATGACGTGTAACTTGGACACAATCCTAGTTCTAAATCAAAATTGTGACTATTTGTAGTACAAAAATAACTTAAGTTCTAACTTCTAATCCAAAATCAGAGGCGTTGTTAGGATGATTTAGTTCTAATCTATATTATGTTTTTCTTTCAAACAACTGAATATTATTACCTCCGTCCCACTAACGTTGGACAAGAGAAGGTGACACAATCATTAAAAAGTGAGTTTATGTGATTGATATTGAATTGATAAAGTAAGAATGATTTAGAATCACCCAAACTATCAAATTTGGCATCAATCTTAGTGAGATTTTCCGAAAAAGTAAAATGAGATCATTTTAGCGGACAGAGAGAGTACTACTTAAAATTGTTTTAATGGTTTGAAAACTAGACCTATTATACCTAAAAATGTGAATCGTTTGAAGCTGACATTGAAGAACATGGTTCCATTTAAAAAATTTGTCTACATGTGTGGGCAAGACAGAATAGATTAGTCTCACACCCAATTTGGCTTGTCTGCATCTATACACTAGTGCCCCCACTTGAGAAAAGATCTAGGTCTGCCACTATATAAGAGCCCGTTTGGTGACCTCTTTTAAGTTTATCAAGCTCATATTTGCTAACACTCTTATCAAATGGACTCTCAAAATAAGTGAGGTTGAAAGTACTTTTTAGATTGAAGTTACTATAGAAGACAATTTTATCTTTTCATATAATTTTTTATTTATTTTATTGATATAAATATCATTTCTCTATTATTCAACAATTGAAGCTTATTTAGCCACTTCAGTCTAAGCTTTATCAACTTTAACAAATTCAACCAATTTAAGTATCACCAAAGAGATTCCTAATGTAGTAATTTAACTTGCTTCTTTTCGTTTTTTGGCAAATTTTTCAAACCTATTATAGTAATTGTTTTGTTAAAGCTAAGATCCTTGAATTGAATTGTTTTGTGACCCTTTTTTTGGAAGTGTCATCATACTTGACAACCTACTCATTTTCTTTAAAAAAAGATCATATTACTCCATTTTTTTATTCCTGGAAAACTTCCAAAAATATTTAGTACTTTCAGAAAAAAAATCCTGGTTAGCAGTTACTCCAGTTAGCTTACTTAACGTAATTTAACACGTCCGTCCTTGGAAATTATCGGGAAATGAATGCGCCTCCAACGCCGAGGACGGTAAGCTTGGAAGTACCGTCGATGTCGGCGACCGGTGCTCCGAAAACGGTGTTGATAACCGGGGTGAGTAGGGGGCTAGGGAAAGCACTGGCCTTAGAGATGGCGAAAAGAGGTCATACCATCGTCGGCTGCTCCCGTTCCCAGGATCAGCTCAATTCTCTTCAAGCCGAGCTCGCATCCGCCTCCAGTTCACCCCCCTCCTCCCCTTCTCAAAGTAAACATCTAATCATGAACGTTGATGTGGTACGCTTACTGTCTCCGGATTTCCCTCTCCCTCTGACCTCTCTCTCCCATTCCTTTAACAACGGGATTTTGTAACGAGGAATTGAGGACTATTTAATTTAGTTTTCACGTTTTCCTTTATATTTTTTTTTACTAAAGCTGCGATTGGGACTCTGGGTAGCTCTCGGAATGCCCGTTGAAGATTATTTCAATGATCAGAATATTATTTAAACCTTATCAATAAGGGTTATCAACTATTTTGATTTTCTTGAAACAACTCCCAAGTCAAAATCAACGTAATAGGATTTTAGGTTTTTAGTTAGCTCAGCAAGTGGATGCATATAATTATATAACCATAGTCCAGGATACCCAAGGAAGAGAGACAAAAACACTTTTTTACATCGACCTTATTTGTACAAAAATCAAGGCTATTCTATTAAGCAGGAAGATTTCCATACACCATTGTGCTTGCTCTTTTATGAATGGTTAGATGATGATGGTTATTGTTTCATCATTGCTTCTTAGAGGTCAAACAGCAGTGTTGAAGAACTGGCATGTGCTGTTAAGGAAAAGAATAGCATTCCAGATATTCTAGGTACGAACATTATGAGCCTTCTTGGTAGCCGAATTCGGATTATTCAACTTATTAGAAGTGTAAGTAGAATACTCAGAATAAGTAGTTTTTTGACTTGCGAATTTGGGTGAAATTGTTTTTGCCAAACAATGTTATTTTCAGAAAGTTCAACGCATTAAGCCACATTAGGGGGTGTTCCGATCTGCTTCTTGAAACAATTTCTGCTTCTTCCGAGAGTAGAAGCAGATATTGAAGTGTTCGGGTAAAATTGCAGAAGTACTTTCACCTAAGAGTGCTCCGAATTGCTTCTAGAAGCAGTTTTAAGAATCTGAGGGAGACTAGCTTCTAAAACAGGCTTACCAAACGGGCTCTATTTCAACCTTTCTGGCGAGTTTATATGCTCACCATGCATTTGTGACTTATTACTGTGCTGCTTGGTGTAGACAGTTTTTGTCTGTATTGTTTTGTTTTTTTCCAAATGTTTACATTTTTCCTTCAATACAGTGGCTAATGATTGTTGATGTAGAAAGTGTTGTTTTGGCAGTTAACAATGCAGGAACCATCAACAGAAACAACAAGCTATGGGAGGTCCCAGCGGAAGATTTTGATAACGTGATTGATACAAATGTAAAAGGAGTAGCAAATATACTGCGTCATTTCATACCGCTTATGCTTGACAAGAAGCAACAAGGAGGAGTTATTGTTAATTTGTCTTCTGGATGGGGAAGAACATCTGCTGGACAGGTTGAACCTTTTGCTTTATTTTCCCCATCTTGAATGAAGGGTTTTAGAGGGTAAGGCTGTGGCGCTCTTAGCCTATATCGTGATAAATAGATTGTTCCTAAAATGAATGAATAGGGGTGCCCGGTGTCACTAACATAGAATTTGAAAGATTTTTAGGATTGACAGAGGATAAATTTTAATAGAAATCCATTGATTGTATCATATGTTTAATAAAATTCAATGAAATCTATGAAAATTCAAAGACAACTGGCCGGATTTTGGTAATAATGCATATAGTGTTTTTTAGCTTAGAAATCCAAAGAATCCATAAAATACACCGAAAATTGAGAGCACCTAGATTTTAATGGAATGAATAGAGTTCTTAGATGGGGACACCTGGAATCAAATGGAATTCTAGTAATTCTGAATTGAGGGCATCTAGAGATGTGTATTGAAATGTTAGGAGGTGTTTGGATCTACTTCTTAAAACTGCTTCTACTCCTTTAGGGAGCAGAAGGAGATATCGGAGTATTTAGGGGGTGTTTGGAATTGATTCTTCTTCTGTTTCTTTTTTACAAGTAGAAGCAGAATCAGAGCTGGTCTCCCTCAGATTCTTAAAACCGCTTCTAGAAGCAATTTGGAGCACTCTTAGGTGAATGTACTTCTGCAATTTTACCCAAACACTCCAATATCTGCTTCTACTCTCGCAAGAAGCGGAAATAGTTTCAAGAAGCAGATCGGAACACCCCCCTTAGGTGAAAGTGCAGAAGTACTTCTAAGTGCTCCAAATTGTTCTTAGAAGCAGTTTGTTAGAAGGTGGGGAGACTAGCTTCTGAAAAACTGTTTCAAATTCTACTTCTGCTTTTAAAAAAGAATCAAAAGCAGAATCAATTCCAAACACCCCTTTTATGATCCCTAACTATGTTATTCCTTGACCCTTCTACTTTATACAGTTCCAGTTAGCCCTAAAAACCTTCCATCCAAACTGACCCTTAAATTATTATAACATTTCCATGACACTTCACTCATTTGAAAAACACTATTCATCAATAAATTAAGAATAAACTTAGAATGTTTTTACTTGGATTGTTTTCAATTCTAGACCTGACCAAACTTGACTTCCGTAGTTATAAAATACACAGAGACCAGACGTTTACCAGTTCAGACCAGACCGCACCAGACTTAAACAGACCAGATCAGCAAATTACAGGCCAAGTAAAAACATACTTAGCCCTCCAAAACCTTCCTCCATAGGTCCAAACCGTCAAACCGAAACTTAGTTTGCCAATTTGAATGTTCCTTTATTTTAATATACTTCCTCCGTCTCTTTTTAGTTGCAACAGTCAACATTTCACGTTTGTCAACGCAGAACTTTGACCGTCGTTATATTTAATTTTGTATTAGTAAAAATAAAATAAAATTCAGATTATAAAACTTAGTAATGAGACGAATTTAACAACATTTTTCAAGAAAAATAATTCACATACATTAATAAATAAAATGTAGTCAAAGTAAAGTACATGAATAGTGTATATATTCCAATGTTGCAACTAATGAGATACGGAGGATAGTATACATTACATAAGGGAATAGAACTTGGAAATGTGGCATCTCAATCCTGAAAGAGAAAAACCAGAATGTGTAGTGTTTTTGTGATCTTCAGACAAACAACCACATGGTTTTAAGGAAATGAAGCATCACTATTCAGTACCAGTTGGTTAAACCATAGCTTTTTGGCTTGACAGGTTGCACCATATTGTGCATCAAAGTGGGCTATAGAGGGTCTGACAAAATCCGTAGCAAAGGAGTTGACAAATGGACTTGCTATCGTTGCTCTTAGCCCTGGTGTTGTTAACACCGATATGCTTCAATCCTGCTTTGGCACTTCAGCCTCACTCTACCAGACACCTGAAGCTTGGTAACCACCTTCAGCTCTATATCATCCCTTCTTCACCTCTTCTTTCAGTTTTCTTAATACAGACAGATTAAAAAAGGCAGTTCTTATAATGCGGGTGATGTTACTAGCATGTTTTTGGCTCTTATGCATCTATAATACTACTACAGTACTACTATATTAGTGTGTTCATACTTCATGGTCATGCTGCTTCTACGATATTATTATGTGCAACTGACCTTTTTTTTTCTTATCCGTAAAATATGTTATGTTCACAGGGCTCCAAAAGCAGCAACAATGATACTTAGCATGACAGTGGCTGACAATGGGTTGTCTCTTACGGTGTAAAGAATACACTGAAGTCATAACATTATTTTGCATTGATACCGTTTTAACCGACTTTTCAAGTCATCTTACAGTTAAGGTCTTCTCAACTTCCTAAGTTTTGTTGTATAAGATGATGATGAGGGGATGCCATGAATATATTGTACTACGTATAATAATGTGTAAGCCAATTGTTGTCAGTTGAAGAGACGATATTACGCTTCAGGAAGAGAAAATACTTATGTGGATTTAAAGCATGGTGATCACTTGATTGATAATACTTGTATGGTGTAAAGCATAATAGGAAGAAATATTTGATGGATTGCTTCCTTGAGTTTTCTCCCCAGTGTAAAGCAAGAGGAGGCTGGAAAACATTGCTGATCTGGTGGAGTTTGTAGCTCTCTGGAAATCACTGCCGATTGTAACACAGTTAAAGATTACACTTTGCACCCATTTCTTCCCTGCCCGATCCCCTCCCCCGGCTAGGGGTGGACCGGTTCCGGTTCGGGCCCGGCCGGCCCTCGGTTCATGAAGGGAAGGCCTGGAACCGGCCCGGGTAACCCCCGGGTCCGGGCCGGGCCGGGCCTCGATTCTAATTTTTTTTTTGGGTTTTCCTAGTTAACTCCCAACCCTTCCCCTCACCCCCAAACCAACCCTAACCACCTCAAATGGCCCAAAATACCCAGACACTCAGCCCAACCCAAAAGCTTAAAAAAATTCAAAATAATAATAATAATAATAAATTGGCCCGGCCCGGGCCCAAACCGGCCGGACCGGTTCACCTTTTGAAGGGCCCGAGCCCGAACCGCCATCCCACCGGGCCGGGTGGCCCGAACCGGGCAACCAACCAGTTCACCGGGCCGGTCCGGGCCCGCACAGTAGCGGTCCGGTCCGGTTCTGGGCCGGTTGGCCCGGCCCGAGTCCACTCCTACCCCCGGCCCCAGATAAAAAGTCAAATTCCTTAAAAACACTCATCAACTCCAGCCATTTAGCATGGATGGAGCCGCTTAGGCGTCTAACAGTGCTGATATTTTAGAGCATTTCTATCATTAAATTCAAAATTGCTATTTTTCTCATAGAAGTGCATTTAAGTTGAACAACATTAAGAGCCCGTTTGGTAGCACGAAAATCGGCTGATATGGTTGATTCTGCTGAAATTTATGAAGTTCTGGCTGAAGTGGCTGCATTGGCTGATTCTGCTGATATAAGAAAAAATTATTTTTAAAATATATTTTCTTGATAAAATAAAGAAAAAATTATATGTAAAAATAGCTAAAATGGTCATCTACAGTAACTTCAGTCAATACATCCAGAAAAGTAACTCCAACCTTACTTTTTCTGCTTATTACACAAATCAGCGCGTGAAAGCAAACGTTACGTGTTTGGTGAAAAAGTTGGCTGATAAGCCTGATAAGCCCAAAACGAGTGTTGCCAAACGGCCTCTAAGTTATGGAACTTAAAGATGTTCTATTATATGCAATAGAAAACAAATTTAAATCGGTTCGTAGCATAATAAAATGCACTGAGTGCCATTACAAAAAAATCACACATGCAACTACAAAAACCTGATATCCTAAAAAACAAATATTGGGTGTGAAGGGAGGGCTGTAAAAACAAAAATCTGATATCCAAAAAAAACTGCACCTCACTCGGTTCGATATCGTGGAACTATGAAGCGGTTCGATATCGTGGAACTATGAAGCGGTTCGATATCTAGTACACTACATCACTTGCCCCGACTTTCAACATTCCAAACCTCACATGTTCTAAATGGAAAAAGAAGATCAACAAACATTTCATCACATTGGCATGTGAAATATCAACTTCTCATGAGATGAAAGTGAAACAGATATAACATGTAAGTTTCAAGGTAGTAGACTACTAGCAGATGTGATGATTTTTCAAAACATATAGAAAAAAAAAAGAAAAACAATGCTTCAAGACCCCCATTCAGTGTCAAATATATGTTGACGAAAGAAGACATGGGTAAAGGTACAGAGGTCATGATGGCAATCAATAGATGTCAAATTTGCTTAGTTCTAATATCACAGTTTCTCCTCTTTTAGGTTCTTTCTTGATCTGCTTTGTGATTCTTTGCAATGTGGCCTTACTGCCATGATGGCCTAAGGTCTATGACATTATGACATTAACATTTTTAAAATCTACAGATTTTAAGAGCATAAACAGTCATTTGTGAAAACTCCTCACTGGAAATATTTCCAAAAAAATAGTAAAGCTTCGAATCACCATGAAAATTGTAGTTATTATTTAAACTATCGCCTTTGTGTCCTTTCATGATTCATTCATATAAATGAAAATGCGTAAATTGCTTTCTAACTTATAAAACACTCCATATATAATATACCGAGTAGATGTTTAATACACCATTAAAATTTTCAAAACTTATAACATTAGAGCTGTGAAGGTGTAGTTCTATTTGCACCGTGTAGTTATTATTTAAACGGTCAATTTTGTGTCCTATAAACATATAAAAGAGAAACAACGAACTCAACTAGGATTAAAGATTCAAAATGAATTGTATTATTTATGTGGGAAAGAGACTTGGGGAGATACCAACAAAGCCTTCAGCAACCGGGATGAGAATCACCACAAAACCCTAGCGTTTTGGCACCACAGGTTTGCTTTTCATTAGTTGGCCTAACTTTGTTGAAGATTCTTTTATAGGGTTATGCTCCAACTTGATTGTTCTTCCATTTTGTCACCTCGGTTTGGCGAGTTGCTTTGGTGTCCCGACTAGCTTCATCTGGTCTGGGCTTTTTGTCTACCTTCTTTTGAGCTACATAGAGAATAGTAGAGATATAGAGATTGTTTGGTACTCCACCTATTCTTACGTCTATCCGGAACGAAGTAGGGAAAAAATTTTAGTTTCACTCTCATATTGCATCAGCTCGTTCTCCTCCATAACTACCTTCGTGTCAGAAAGAGATATGTGAAAAGACTTTATTTCAGTATTGTTTTTTCTTTATCCATACTTGTTTTCATTTTAGTTCGAGTAGGTATGGTTGTCATAATTAGATATTTGGAGTACTCTTGACAGACAGTGTTTCGGTTCTTGTCATTTTAGGCTTAATTTGCATGTTTTGTATCTTACAAGTCAAGTTGCTTTGTATGAGGTGATTGACTCTATATGTCTATTCCTAAGGCTTACGATCAGATCTGCAATAGTTGTTTGATGTTGTCTTACGTGTTTTCTTGATATTAATATAGGGATTATAAGCCGTTTATCATTAAAAAACTTATAAAATCTCCCCCCGTCCCATATAACTTGACCAAAATTGACATGAACATAAAAATAATAAAATAAAAGCTCTGTGGTTGATATTTGTGCAGAGGAGATAAAAATAACTTTAATCACATACGTAGTATTTTTTACTTTAAGTGAAAATGAATTTTTTTTGGTACAACCAGAAAAGAAAAGTTGACCAAGTTTAATGGGACAATGTTAATATATACTATACAAATTTCATACAAATTCTATACAAATATCATATAATCAAATGCTAATAAAGTCAGCAAACATATTAGAGTGATCTACTGGCGAATCTACTGGTGACTTCCACAATTCTGAGCAAATTGACTTCGACTCTCTAAAGGAATTCATTCAAATTACAATGACTAAGCGGTGGACTGACTGACTTTCTACATTTTTAATTAACGAATTCGACAAAATTCTCGTATCAACTTTGAATAATCGTGACTCTTTAAATAAGAAACCTGTTGATGTAGAGAAAACTATTGATTGTGCAAATACAAGAGTCGGCCTTTCGAGGAATGTTCTTGGTAATCATTACTATGAGGCTTTTGATAGTGAATGTGTTTATGGAGAGCAGTTCTTTTTATGAATGTTTTCCTTGGCCATGCTTTAGAAAGCTGGAAGAGGCCACCTATTTCATGGATGAAAGATCTATAAGACTCCGATATAAATCTAGATATTTGTAAACAAAGTCTGATATGTTACAAGAGAAAATTATCTGCCTATAGAGAACTTGAACAATCAAATTAAGATTTACAGAAAAAGAAACAAAGGTCGCATCTTATGAGGACTATATCTCAAACACGAGTGGAATTTGGAAGTATCCAATGACTTATTCTTAGGGGTTTTGGGAGGGACTTTTTGCAATTCTTTGGGTTTGGTTGCTTGTTTTTGTATTTTAGTTTTGTTATTTTCTTTCTCCTCTTTCCTTTTTCATCTTTCTCTCTTGTATTTTCCTCTACTCCGTCATTGATAAAAAATTTCATTAAAATAAAAAATTCCATGAAATCTATTTTGACCACGCCCTCCTAAAATGTACGGAGTAATAAACAAACCAGATCTCAAATAGCAGCTTTTAATCAACCATATTTCTACTAGACACAAAATACCAACTACTAACTTATTTGACTGTTGATTTAATTAAGTGAAAATAAAAGAAGTTTAGGAAATACTTAAGAAAATTATTTTCTTAGGATTATTGGTGTATATATATATATATATATATATATATATATATATATATATATATATATATATATATATATATATATATATATATATATATATATTCTTTTTTAATTTTTATAATTCTAAGTTCTCTTTTCAATTTTCATAGTTCAACTAGTTCAAACTCCATTAACTCACATGTTGCAGGTTTGTGGACCTTGCGCATATCATGTTTTACCTTCTTTATAAAAAAACTTTACTTTCTTTAAGCGTATACCTCAAGTGACCTAGTGAGGTGCAAAATTTATAACAAATATTGAAGTAAATATAAGATGCCAATACCAAATTTGCTTTACTTTATACAAGTATATCAAATGCCTTTCAACTACATTTTCACAATAAGTATATTAATCATTTGATTCATAAATGAGCATGCATATAATTTCACATTGAACAAATTTTATTTCCATACAGGTTTTCGCTTTTCTTTTAAAATATGTTTTATAAATGGCTAAACAGGTGTAATACACTTTTTAAAACATAGAAAAACTATTACAAAATTTCCAGTCAACAAAAGTATATAAGTTAGTGATTTATCAGCCATACGACATTTAATTAGCACCTTAACATGATAACATCAAAACATAAAAAATTACAAGTAATGGTTTGTGACTTTGTGGTAATACATTCAAGGATTTGCTCCGATTGCCTCTCTGAGCTTCCTCCCTAGTGCAAATGCCAGAGGTGGCGGCACAGCATTGCCAACCTGTTGGTACTTATTCCTGACGGTTCCGGCAAACTTATACGAGTCTGGAAATCCCTGCATACAAAACAGTTGCATCACAATTCACAAATTCTTATTCAACATGAAGAACGTAAAATTTCTTATTAGTTGGAAACACATTTGAATTGATAGTACTTCGGAAATTCTTATTACACGCTCATATGAGCAGTGGAGGACCTAAGGGGGGCTACGGGCACGTACCCCGCTTCGGGCCTGGAAATTC